TGGAGGCGAGGGTGGCAATAGGTTTGCTGGGTGTTGGACATTGGCGACCATGATGGCCGGTGAGTTCAGGTCGAATTGCTGCACGGTGTTATTGGGGCCAAGGGTGAACAGCGTAGCACCTCGGCCATAGACGGCAAGGCCGCGAACAAGGTCGAGAGTCGGGATGGGATCATAAGTGACGTGCTTTGTCCTAACATCCCATGACAGTGTTTGCCTGTGCAGATGTTAGTACTAGGGGGGTATGCAGCTCAGCGCACGCGCATCCCAGGGCCTTTTATCGTGGCAGTAGTAGGCAAACTTACGAGTCGGAGTACTGTATAATGCGACCGTTTTTAGACCATCCCATCCAGTTGAGTCCATCCACGAAGATCTCAGCCTTCTTGAGATTTCGAACCACCTTTGCAGGGTTATCGACGCTATGTTTCTTTGCCACGCTCCAGACCCGCAAGTCACCGTCACGCATCTGGACGGCAAGCATATCCGAGGAAGCATGCCATGCAAGATTCACAATAGGTGACGGTCCTCTGGAAGTGGTGAGGTTGTGTAAGATAGTGAAGCGTGGCTGCAAGGTTGCAACAAATAGAGAGCCATTCTCGTAGCTGAGATAGCGTTAGTAAGATTTGAGGAGAAAAGGATGAGAGCTGACCCGATGGCAAATGTCCGACAATCGGCTGATGGTGCCAATGCAGTCACTGCAATTTGGTCAATAGTCGTTGAGGAAACATGTTCAGATGTTAAAGGCTCAAACATGATAATGTTTCCCTTTGTGTTGCCTTCAAATCGTTAGTCATGATCATGATAAACTCATCCCAATAACCGACCGAAAGCCACATTGCCATTTTTCATCCATGCTGCGACAGTTAGATGATCATAACAGGCAAATCGAGAGATCTCATGCCCTGTCATCAGATCCCACACAATTGCTGTTTTGCCAGCATCGTAACTAACAACGAAGCGGCCACCACCAGCCTCACTCTGGTTATCGACCGCTAACAATTGAACCTCATCAGCGTGTTGAGAAAACTTTCGTTCAATCGTAAGAGTATCATGATGACAGCAAACAACGGATGAACCCTGGGCGTACAAAAACATAGACGCAGTGGCGGCGCAGAGGTTAAAGTACTTCAAATCAGTAACATGGGGCATTGTAGTGTCCAGAACCTGTGAAATCTCACCGCTTGCTGCAGAAACTCTACTACCAGAACCTGATAGTTCAGTTCGGCTTGGAATATGGCGCGCAAGAAAGTGAGTCAGGAGGCCAATATTGGCTCAAGTAGCGATGCTAACGGCTGGTAGCGGACATCTAAGCTGAAGCATGGGCACAGCCTTCAGTCATCACGTTTGACAATCTTTAGGCTTCCTGTGAGCAGTAGAAGGTGCGGTGGCATCACTTCTGACTACGTGGACATGGCAGTCGGCCGCTATAAATTCCAGGTTGTTGCATCGTGGGATCCTCTTGGCAGAGTATATCGGCTAACAGCAGGCGGGGCTAGCACTCTCCACTAAACCAAGATCACTTCCGTATCTCAAGGCAACGGGACACTTGTACGACACCCGTTAGCTCTGGAAGAGCCCATAGCTCGGTTCGAGCAGGTTATCATCGCTATCTGCCGTGAGTTCCGTCGCAAAGCCAAAGACGAAAGAATTGGGAGATAAGAATTCCTCCAAATCGTATTGACTTCTATGAAGCATGGGAAAAATGACAACCCTTCTGTGAAACCGATGAACAACCTTTCATTCTGCTGCGTAGAAACATGCGAACAGAAATCACCGCCGGTCTTCCACGGTGCTGGTGATACTGTCTTTCAAATCAGAGGTTGTAATCTAAACAGGAAACTCAGCGCTTATCAGCGATGATAATTGGCCAATTTCTCACTTACCTTGAATACGCTTTGGACATCGACTGTTTCTCGAACAGTGTGTACAATGCATACATAGTCTCGCTTGACGGCGTCTGGGCCGAGTGGCCAGTTGATCATCATTGCCATTCATCCGCCTCTCCTCGCCAGCCTGAGTGTATTGTGGCAACGTGAGCAATTGAAAGTGGGTGTCACGAGCTCGGTGTCGGTCAAGACGGGCTACGGGCACGTACCGTGCTTGCCGGCCATTTCAGCACTCAGTCAAGGCAAAGATTGGCGCTAAAAGGAAAAGCAATGGACCCTCTGACCCCGGAATGTTTAATGATGAGAATTCTTGCTATGGAATACACGACCCTTGTCGAGTTTGACTTGCACCAAAATTCGCCGGTGATCCACCGATTTGGGTGTCGTTTTTTATTTAGCGCCAACAGCATCACCTCATTCTGGTTGGCGATCGTCACTTCTCATCAGAATACGGATAAATCCCCTTCCTCTATTAACCGCCAACCGCTATACCCCTGGTCCTTGTCATCACAAACTCTACCATTAGCAAGATCAGTGCTCTAAATTATTACTTTGAATCCCGTACGGAGCTCGCCGGCAAGCTTGGCACCCGATGACGACGAATTTGACGACATTAGCAGACAGTTAAATCGTTGGATGACTGCAAATTTGTACCTGTTACCTGTGAGTGATTTTGGCAGAACAAGTTCTACTTAGCATGATTTCCCACGACGAATAGGAAGATGCCGATATTTTTGCTGTACATGTCGCCAGTCACGCGGCACGTTGGTGCACTGTCACCCTCGTCATCCTTATCGCAACTCTTCTCGTCTGCAGCATGTAAGCGAGACACTTATCCGGAAGGAATCCCGGTGAACACGCCAAAAAGGGCACCCCGCATGCTGACAGGGACAAGCCCTGTGCAGCCCGGCCATTTGCACTAAACAAGGAGGGGTCGCCCCTGTTCTGAGTCCACTGGCGCAAGCCCTATCTCTGGCACTGTGCCATGCCCAATTGTCTACGGCGCCGGGAATAATCGTACACTAAATGAGACCAGAGATGAAACAATTACACTAGCAGAACTGGCGCTTCTGATTCATTTGCCAAGTCTGCTCTCCTCCTCTGCTTTAGGTGGCGATCCCGAGCCACGACAGAGCCTTTGAATCGTTGCACGTTCCAAACCTTTGAATAGTGGTAAAAGACAAAGGCATAATAGCATTGCTGTGGCTCAATCGCTCTAGTTCCAGGTACCAGTTTAAATGAACTCATTATGTCCATGTAAAGGAAACGATTGCTGAGATACGTGTATGCACGCTCAACGCGGCACTACTTTCAGGTGGCTTGATGACTGTGCCCCAAAAAGCAGGAAGAACTCGGCAAGCCAAGATTCAAAATCCTGTGATTGGTAATTCCTTCTTAGAAAGCCCGGCGTCGCGCCTCGAAAGGCACATGTTCTATACGCAGCACGACGACTCCCTGAAGGTGCGCCACCTACCAACTATAGACCCCCTTGGTTGATCTTGCCAGGGTATATCCTTGAACATGAGTTCTCATTGGCGACGAACCTCCTTGGTCCATCAGTTCTCAGCTCCTCGAAGTCGTGTGTAATCGGATCAAGGCGCGTGGCCTGCAATTGAGACATCTAGTTCAACTCTGCCGATCTGTCACATATCTCAAACATGCAGTTTCCATCACGTGAAATACCTTTGTAAGACGTTTTAAACCCTTGATCCCTTCTGGGAGTTTGCATCGCCGGTACAATCGCCAAACACGTCGGAAATAAAAGCTTACAATGGAGGTGAGTGCCGACGGCAGGAATGTTATTTATTTCGTTGGGATGTTGGAGGTTGATAAAGGAAATGCTACATAAGTGCAGCATGGAAAGCGGAGGCACATCCGGGACTGGGGGCAGCATGGGCTAATGCAGCTCTTTAGTCTGATGATGCCTTGCTTCTCGCAATTCGCTTCCTGCAGGCACGGATGTGCTCCGCGGCTGACAGGGAATCACAAGAATGTCTGCATGGACCACGACATGGTTAATATGGTACTATGACCTTGAAAGAGAAAATCGATTCTGGGGCTTCACAAAAGCAATATTCGAGCAAGAAGCATGGTGATTTAAACCAGAAGATTCCTAGGCTTGACATGATTGACTAAACATCTTAACAGGCCCCGCTCTGTTTGACTGACCGTGTCTCCTGTCGTCGAAGCCACCGACTGTAATTTCAATTGATCAATCTTTTGCTTCCATCTCAAAGATGGGCGATACATTCACTTCTTTTTGAGCTCTCTATATTCAAATTTACCTTCATGTCAAGTGCACCTATTGGGATTACCTACCAGATCGATTCTCACCAAATCTCACTAAACATGACGACTTCATCGATGACCCCTCCGAGTAGACCCGAATCTGCCAAAACGAATTCCACTGGCGCATCAAGTTACTCTCCGCGGGCATCATCCACACCATCGACACCAACCTGGCCTTCCAGAGACTTTACTCTACCGAAACAGGCTGCCAGTCGGGATAATAAATTGTCATCTGTAGGCAAGCGCGACAACGACGATGAGGAGTGCGCAAGCACTCTACTCACAATGTGCCAAGATATCCTAGCATCTCAACATGGGACTCATCGTTCCTCGAGCTGCCCCTTGGGAGATGACCAAGTCTCACCTTCCTCAATTCGACACAGACAGCTCAGTGACCGCGTTGTGGGCAACGTTCCGTATACAAATGGCGAGGAAAGATTACAGCAGACTCCCCAAAGGACCGTTAGTGTCCATAACAGACTCAACCCCATGGAGTCACGACTACTGGCTCCAGGGGGTAATGTTCATGTCCCTCCAGCAGCCCGTCAATCTGAATCCGCGACACCAGGCCAGGCAGTTGGCTCAATCTCTGGGCCTTCCCCCCCAGCCCAGCCTGCGTCAATTTCTTTTCCTGGAACGCCTTTAGGACCGATGACACCTATTGGAGGGCCTTCGCCAAGACGCAATGCCTCAGCAACTCTGCCGTTTCCTACCGTGAATAGTGTTAGTCATGTGCCCTCTCGTGCATCTGATCGGCGACAGTCTTTACATGGCTTTTTATCTGCTAAGCGACCGTTCGAAGACATAACGCCGGAAGACACCAGACCTCAATATCCCCATCTACATCCTCTGACGGGAGCACCCACCGGTCCTCTCTTAGCGATGTCGGATCGTGGTAAGTTGCATTCACAGCCGCTCCCTTCTTCTGGGACACAAGCTCCTCTCTCTACTTTCCCCTCCAGCCATGCGCCAGGTCGCACGCAACCGCCTCTGGTACATTCTCACACTTCATATTCTCCTAACATGCAAGCTGTTCGGTCCTTCCCGAGTCCGGGGCCCCCAAGCGAGTCCGCCTCGCCATGGTCGGAAACGCTGCGGAGACATGGGATGGGAGGGTCACTTTTTGGCGTTGAGGGACAGCAAGCCATGTTAGCACTTCCGGGAAGCGAGGCACCTATCCCTGTGCATATGGACTTTTCGCAAGCGTCCAAGAAAGCAGACGAGAAGAGGCAGAGAAATGCAGTGGCTTCGACGAGGCACAGGAGGAAGAAGAAGATCATGCAGGAGGAGAACTCAAAACAGCTACAAGAGCTTCGGGATGAAAGGCGTCTCATGGAGATACGGATCGAGGAGTTGATTCAACAGCGGGACTTCTACCGTGAAGACCGTAACCGTTTACGAGACATTGTCGCACAAACGCCATCAATAAGTGGCCATGCTGCTGGACCTCCTAGTCCTACTATTTCGACAARCAATTYTTATGCAGAGACTGGGTCGTTAGCATCGGGGCCATCTGGGTCTATGAGTTACGGAGATGTACTATCGAACGAAAGACCAGCCCAACGCCGTCGAACCGACGATCATCCTGAATATTCGCTACCACCATACGGGTCCCCTATGAGCGGCGACCCGAGTGCATCTCTTAGTGGACTACCTCCAACGCCCATGTCAGGTTGTAGCGGGCCATCATGGTCATCATCTGCGGCATCCTCGGCGAGCGGTGAAAGGCTGCCGCCACTGAGAGCGATGGAAGGTCGACCTCCTACTGGCCCGGGGGATGGGCCAGGGGTTCAAGAGCAGGATCCGCGAACTGGTCAGTGGGTTCCCGTTCAGCCTCGAGTTGCCGAGACTGGCTGGGCAACACGGGACACTCACCGCAGGCCTTGATGCGATGGTATTTATTTGAAGTTCCCAGTCGGTACAGTTACGGAGGCTATTTCCTCAGTGCTTTAATTACCGGAGAAGTTCAGGCGTTTGGTAGGCTTAGGTGACGAACGGATGGGATTTTTGGAAGACGCATCTGTTGGTCAAAGACGAATTTATCACATTTGTAGCCAGAGTCACTGCGCCAGTCAGTGAATTTCAGCACTCGTATGTAGGGTCCATATATCGCATAACAAATACATCTAAATACGTAGCACACGGCGATTGAAGAAGAATTGTATCGACTGAGAGAAACGATAAATATATGTTCAACACCGCATCATGCGGAATATGTAGGAAGAATCGAACAAGTTGTACGAGAAATAAAATGTTGAACAAAGTCTGACCCAACCGGTATCTGAGATCTTGAATGCCTTGTCTGTCCCTCCAAATACTCACTACGCTTAATCAATGACCTTTGGCAGCATGCGAAAAGCCTTCAGTCGCCCGACCCGTCAATCGCCAGGTACTCATACATATAATGCCAAAGCAAGAGCGCTTCTCATCCCATTTTAGTTGACATAAATCTTCAATCGTGCTCGTTCACGTCCCTTTCAGGTAGCCAGGTTCGTATGTCAACCTACAACAGTCCGTTGCGCCGGCAGGCGGCGTCTCTTTCGACGACGTTTAGTTCCATCTGATCGTTGAGCAAGAACATCTCTCAGTTGCGGGTCGTCATTGTCTTTGTCTATATGATGAACACGGACGTGTCTAGGAGCAGTCAGTATCATTTCTCTAGGTCGGGGCGCATATTTGGCTGCAGCACCGGTATGGCTTGGCTAATCGACATACCGCTGAAGATTATCTGGGCGTGGATATTTGTGTTCTCTATCCGGGCAAAAGGGGCAGACGTAGCCTGGGGAGTCATGAACCAGGCCATGCCTTATCAGTTCATTCATTCTTTTGAAGCCCTTGCCCCCTTCACTTCTTGGACAGCCTTTGACTGGACAATAGTGTGGCCGTATAGATGAGTGTACATTCATGTGAGATTCGAGGAGATAGCAATTCTCGAAAGGCTTGACATTGCAACCCGTAACGTTGCACGGATATGAGATGGAAAGAGGCTGCGGATGTGTGATCCCATCGATAATCTTCCCATCAGTGATTGAGGTTGAGTCGATCGATGTTGATGTCACAGAGGTGGAAGTAGAGTTATCGGTATTCAGAATCTCGACAGCATTGCTGCTACTATCTTCGGTCGGAGCGCGAGGGTGGTTACCATTTGTCGGATGATAATTTGTACTCGCACTTAGCGGAGAGTGCGGGGAGGGTGTTTGATATCCATCTGGTGGTGAACAGGGTGACGAGACAGACTGCGATGAAAGAGTCTTCGCAGGCTTGCCAGCTGGTGCGCGAGTCCGATGGCAAAGCCGCCTTCGCGGTTTGTCAGGCAACGGTGTCCTTCCACTAGGAATATATCGCAGTTTAGATTGAGTGTCGATGGGGGGCTCGCCATGAATGGAACTTCGTCTAGTCGCTGTAGAGCTATCAGGGATCGTTGTTGGAACCTGGACAGCGAGAGATGGCAATGCCTTCCTAGTAGAAGTAGCCTGTAGAGCAGCTGCAGCCAGGTGCTGAAGCAAAGGTCCGCCGATGGTGTTGCCCTCTACGGCCCCCTCTCGCCGCGACTCTTTGCTAGGTAGATCTTCGTCGCAGGCAGACTCACTACCCTCGAAATGACGTCCATTATTGAGAAGCCGAAGTAACATACTACTTCCACTGATTTCATGAGACGCGCCATTGGGACCGGATCTAGGTATGTCTGGAGAAAGAGATCGACATGGATTGAGATCTGGGCGTGCGGGCTTGAGTTCGGGGCTTGGAGGATCCATATCATGCGGGACATGTGCATTCTATGTAGGGTTGGGCGGTTGCTCATGTTCAAGGGAGAATTCTATAGGGGACAGGCGACTCAAAGTCGGTAGCAAGTACACGCTGGTATCGATACGTGTTTCGCCGCTTGTTTCTTTTGCACGGATCAATAAGGGTTACTGGGAAAGGGTGGCCGATACGATTTCAGCACTCCATAGCTACCAAATGAAGTTGATTCAGACTTGCGACGCGAGCGCGATACGCTATTGGGGCGGAGAAACAGTGATGATAGTGTATTCACTTATCACACTACAATTTGTAGCAGTTGGGAGACTCTACCCACCCAATGAGCGAGAGAAATGTTAAGAAGGAGTTGGTACCTTGTTGAGTTAGAGAGCTTACATCACGTTTTTCCGGATGTCGTTATGGTCAGTCGATGAAGAATGTGAGATTCCCCCTGAATTTGTTGTTCTTGTTTTCTTTTGCCTGTAGCGACATTGGTCGCCAAGCCTAACTTGTATAGGAAGAGTGGCTGACTGGATTGCAACCAACAAGAGCTAGTCTGGCTGGTATTGGGGAATGGACATTTCTTGTGTGAACTCCTTGTTCTACGTTTGAACGTATGAGACATAAGAATCCTCCAAACCTCCCCCACGCAGAGGATATACATAATCTCTATTTATATGTTAACGTTACTGGGAAAGTCATGTGCAGCTAGATTGACTGAGGGGAAATGTACGGAGTCTCATCCGAAGGGCCTAGGGTAGGGTATTTTGGCCAGACAGATGTACCATGTAACATTCGAATCTTATGTTGGTGATGCAAAAGTAAGCTCCCTCGACCAAACCTGCCGTGACTCGCGCTGCTGCTGACGGAAATTTTATAGGATCCGGCATGGACAAGCACGTCGGTAAAAAAGCCGTGATCTTTTGACCAAAATGCAGGGAGGCGGCGATACGTTGCGAAGAGCTCACATTGCGAGACTCATCAACTACTACAAAAGTCCACAGATCGAGCAAGGCTGGACAGCTCATACTGGTTTTGCATCATTACGAAGAGACACTTTCAGCCATCGCCAAGAAGATAATCGCAAACTGGTCAATTAAGATTGTGAATTACTTGCCGCAACTTCAAAAGCAAAGGAAATGAACACCACTCTATGGTCCACGACTACGCATCGCCCGTGTTGATCGATATTGCAGTTTGGGAAGTTCCATTTCCACGTCGATACCCTCATCCGCTTCCATGATATTTGGATCCACCGCCATAGGTGCCATGGGATCTGCTGGGATAATAGGTTCGGCAGCTTCGAGCTTTGCGGGCTCCAACTTGTTCTCCTCCTTAGTGGGTGTCGGGCTGCTTTCTTTGAGGCCGACGGCCATGTCGCGGCGCATGCTGATGGGTCGCCGTGCCCGGACTTTGCCTATCTCGTCTGTTCTCTTTGCTGATTCTGGCTCTTCGCGCTCCACGCGTTCCATCTCCGTCTTGGCCATCTCGAGGACCTCCGTCAGTCGTTTCTGTACCTTACTGATCTCGTCGTTGCAGTCGCCATCGCGAAGTAACTGATGAGCACCATGCTCACACATGCTCTGCACGAACTCGAGGCCCTTATCCAGCTTATCGTATACATCTGGTGGTTGGTCGCCGGCACCGGGTCGGGATATTGACATAGGACCGAATCGCCTGCTGCTCATRTATMGAAGYGARGGGAGAGCGTCGTCATTATTTCCATCCTCTGATACGTCTTGCTCTGCAAGCTTCTTGATCAGGGCAACTCTTGCGGCCATCTTGGCTTTGCGCATCAGGTTTCGACTTGACGAGACGAACCTCACAAGATCGTCAAAGAAGCTCTGAACATAGGTATCATAGTAGACAATGATCATGCTCCGTGTTCGATAAGCGGCAGGAGCGTCGTTAGATATCATAGATGGCGACTTGGGTTTCTTCCTGACCTGAGCTCGTGCTCTAGCTTGTGCGGCTTTGATAATCTCTTGTTGCTGGCGAATGGAGCCAGGGCTTGGGGTATGCACCTTATGTGTCTCAGTCTTGACTGGTGTCTGTGCTGTGCTGTGACCTGCGCCATCTTCGAGGATGTCCTCATTCGCTGGAGCCTCGGCGTGAACTACTGGAGGATCATCTTTAGGCTTGAGGGACTCGGTTGAGCCTTTGTTGCGAAGCGACTTCGTCTCCGCACTCTTGCCCTCTGTGGCAGCAACAGCAGCGAATTCGGCCTGACGTCGGTCGATCTGGCCGCTGAGGTCGTCGAGTCGCTGTAGCCAGTCTGGGACATTGCTGACAAGATTCTTAAGCGCATCCATGGCCATGTCGCGGAAGTCTGTTTCTAACGGGGGAGCCATGTTGAGATTACGACAGTAGGAGTCTGGTTGGTAGGAATCGATACGATTAGGAAGAGCGTCGAAACTTGGTCGTTGAACGGGGCATGAAGCTGAAATGACAGTGTCGGAAGGCGAGCAGTTTTCAATCTTATCACAAAGATAGAGAAATGGAGAGAATTGATCGTTGATTGCTTTGTGGCTAGTCCATTCTTGATTGTCTTGGAGGAACGCAGGTGTCTTCCATCCCCCGTCCTGCACACACTTTCGCGAATGGCGCGGTCACCCCTGTCAAGCCTAAGCCACTACTCGGTAGAGTTGTCTCATCTCCCACCCGCGTTACTCCCCGAAAACAGGGACGCTCGCCTGTGCTTATTCGTGTTGGTGCAGGGGTTTTTGAAGGGTCATAATGACCAGGATACCCCCGTCACATCGACACGCTACTCTTTTTCTACGCGCGACATGGACCAGGGAACACGGAAATCTACCCAACGCTTGTACCTGCGCGTATCATTTTGCCCTGGCAGTCAATTGTGCATATGCAATGCGCCTCTCTCGTGCAGTCCAGGTACAGACCTCCGCTTGGCCGCATAATTGATCAGCGTTTCCAACAGGGGGCGGAAGCCAGTTCTCCTAGGCTTCTAGGATCGCAAGTCAACCCCGGTACGGATGACAGTAGACACGGTCAATTGTTAGCGCACAACACAATTAGGGGACTAGCATATGGGGAAACTCTGCGTCTTTGGAGGACAACAAGACCGGACCGCACGAATAGAGGGCTGGCGCAGCACACCATGCGATAAGCCACGTGTGGAGGCCGAGTCCATGCACCACGTCTCGGACGTTTTGGCTCGGCTGCTGGACCATGGCTTTACGCAGCGTGGCCATCTGGCTCGCCCCATGAGGCGTGAGCCGTTATGTAGTCTTGCCCAATCTACTTCACAGCCGGACTACGCGACGGTCTTTTGATCCACCTTGCAATTGGCATGCTAGCTAAAGGCGGCCAATTCTTGCAGAACAATATGTTGGCAATAATTCGGTGATTGTAAAGCCGAGGCGCTTATCCTTGGAGGATTGGGTTCGCCTGTTCATATGGTCAGACAGCGTGCTTCTTTGATCAAACTAGCCTGTGTTGAACTTTAAATTGATGGTCTGATAAGTTACAAAGAAATGAGTTCTAAAATGCACTTCAGCTGCGCCCGCCCATCTACCAACGCTGATCATTCAACCGTGAGCATGCCAGTCGAGCAGAAGGTTCGGCAGCCAGCGTAGGGTATCTTGCTTCGGCATCTTACTTTACTGCAATGATGAGTTAGTAACTCGTGTAGTCTTCCTCGTCGCAGACAATGCCTACGTGAATAAACAAAGGCAGTAAATCTAGACTCACCTGGCCAAGAGATTGCAGTCTGTGATCATGCTCCTCTCTCATACGATAGATTTGACCAAGTACTTCTTGCATCTCAGCACACGTTCGCTCTATGGTCGCGTTTCGGTTGCCGTCCCTCCGCCAGCGTTGAACGTCGCGATACATCTTGTCATACCGACGTTGCTTCTTTTCCGTGTCATGGCAGAGCTTGCACACGTCTCTCTCGGTCCTGGTTTCGTAGACAAGCTTTAGGCCGCACGTCTCGCCCATCCTGTATTCCTTGTTGCACTGTTGACGGAAGCGGCCCCAACGCCAGTAGGCGCACGCCCAGCGCGTTTGATCAAAGTAGCACATCACCGGAGGAAGGTAAAAGAGTTTCAGTGGTGAGTATTGGAGACGTAAAGGGCAAGGTAGCGCTAGCCCACGACGGTCTAGGCAAAGCTGCGTTGGAAGGCGACAGACTGTCAACGTTGGGCTGCCAGGTCAAAAGATAAATGATTTGTCAGAGTTATAGGGTAATGACGCGAGGAACGATATCGAGGGTTCTCTACACAGGTCCCGTGGCTCAACAGCCAACTGGGTCAAAGGTTGGCTCATTGACCTGTTGGTTGGTAGATGAATCGCCAAGACTGGGAGGTCGGACTGACCGAAAGCTTCATAATCGATTACCCAGTGCCGCTGCGTAAACAAATTTCACTGGTAACTTTCCGGGCCATTATCCACGCCCATCGTTGCCTCTCCCATCCATAGATCGCGTTTCACTTGAGAATAGTCTCTTCAAAGAAACAAGTCCCAAGTATATGTTTTATGTACAGCCATTCAGTTACGAATTGTTTGACTCACCGCTAATAGATGATACCTTGCATTGATCCAATGTACCCAGCAGTTACTCAATGGTAATTGACTCTGCGACGCAGCTCTGTAATGTGCATCTGTCCAACTCAATTGTTCGTGCTCATCGGTTTCAATAGATCAGTTCCCGAAACAAAAAGCGATTAATTTAACAGAACCCTTCTCTATAGACGTTCCTAAACTGCTGTCTGATCCTTTGTGATATAAAAGCCCTAACTCAGCTGCTTCGCGACTTGTTTCTTCACGAGCCCATACACCTTTCACCAGAGCTCGTTGTATTCTGCCCATTTGCAAAAACCTATCAAGCCTCATTGTCAGCAAGTGGCAGCTGCGGAAGTCCTGAGAATCGTACTGACCTAAAGACTGCAGCACATTTTCGTCCGATCTGCTGCCATCAACAAACATTCCAACCATTCCTCGCTCACCCAGGGTCTGCCGACAAGCTAGGAGCAATCTCGTAGCCACAGAGTCACGGCGATTGACCATATCCGGGTCTTCATCTAGTCTAACAGTCAGTCAATGTCAGATAACATGGCTTGGGTTGTGGCCGACCTTTGATGCAGATGCACGAAACTCCTCCGATGCTCTGTCCGATTGAGGCTGGCCATGGAATATCTGCGCCGCAAGGGCTCCCATTATTTGGAAAATATGTTATTGCCGCAGCAATCAGATTCTCCCTTTCAAGCCCGACTACAATGTCATTCATGTAGCCACTGTCCATCGTTTTGGCGTATTGGTCGTACCACCCAAACCCGTATCTCTCCTGCGACTCCTTATTTGCCATCTCGACAATCATCTCGTAATCTGTTTGCTGACATGGCCTGAATGTCAAGCCAGCGGAAGCCAGATCAGGAGCTGGATGGTCGGCAAATCTCAAGAGCCAGTCGAGCACCCGCCGCCCGTTTCCGTTTCCAGGGGTGGCTTCCTTCATGTTCCAACCTTGCTTTTCGAACCACTTCGTATCGGTTTCGGGTGCGGGCAGACCGTAAAGTAACCTTGGAAATGTGCTTCCAAGTTGAATGATTCCAACACCTCGAATCTTCTTAAGCTTGAGCAAGACTTCCTTGTGGAGGAAGCGCCCAACACCTTGACCCCGAAAGTCTTTGTGAACGATGATAGCAGCTACTGACCCAATCAGTCTGTCGCCGCTGCTATCTGTAAACGTTGTGAATGTTGCACAAAACCCAATGGCCTGCCCTTGATTGGGTTCTCTGACCATGTAATGCATGGCATATCCATCGCGTTTCAAGAGAGAACCAAGAGTCGAGCGATTTAGATAGAATTTGGAAGGCAAACATGCTTCCCATAAAGAGTGGGTTTCTAGGAGATCTTTGTCGTAGTCCCATTTTAGGATCGACCAAGTTAGCCGAGGAAGAGAGTTACCGGTCGGCGGCGTGGCCTCTGTTGTCAAAAGAACGGCGACGGCTTGTAAGTCTGCCGCAGAGTACCCAGGACACTGAATGATGGTTGGGAAACCATACTCGCGGGCCCCCTTTTCCGAAACTTCACAGCAGGCTACAAGCACTAAAGGGCGTTCTTCACACACCTCACGAGCAACCTCGGCGAGTTCAAGCTGAAATAAACCTTCCTCTGTCGAGAAGCCAGTCAGCACGAAGATAACGACTCGTACTCTCTTGATGAATGCCACATGAATACTGGTAATGCCAAGCTCCTTAGTATAAGGAACGTGCCGGATCCATGGATGTGTGTGCGCAAGTGCTTTACCGAGAGGCTCGAAAGGGTCACTTGCACTAGCAAGACTCTGGTCTGAAGGGACGACAGCGGGTGTCAGCAACAAGACTAAATCTTCATCACCTAGACTTTTTTGAAGGGGAATCAAGTTTTGGTGATCCCATAGCAAAGTGGCTGGTGGGTTCTGGCTTTCTATTGGTGACATCGTTTGCCACTGTGATATCTCCTAAGATCAATTGACTTATGAGCAGTCTTTTGAATACAGATGGAGATCTCTCAGCTCAGAATTGAACCGTCCAATTACCATGTACTGGAAAGTTGGCTTGAGTGTTGCGGTCGTGGGGAAAACGCGAGTATAATTGATGAAAAGGGTTGCTGAAGCGCGGAGTTACATTGTGGCATACTTTTTATTACACTAATTAGCATGGGAAAGCCAACCCTAGCGGTCAGTGGCCTGCTATGGCGTGTATTAGTTCTACATGGTGTGATCCGAGAACGTATATAGATTCACCAGAATTGCCGCTCGAGTCTTGTTAGATACACTGGCCAGGATATACTCCACCATTCGCATCTTTAAAGCGTATCGAGGCTATAATTTTCACCGGTTGCCGCTGTCACTGCCTTCTTCTGAAGCATCGTATAAGTCCAGACAGTCTTCGAGGACTGCATGCACATGTTAGCCAATCCAACCAGACTCGGGGCGGGACTGCAGTTGCTCACCAGCAGTTATTTGATCCTCCCATACTCCATATTGGTAGTCCACCAGGCCATGTCGCTCTATGCCGTCACATAGCCTTATTAGTTCGTTTCCCATCTTTTTAATCATGGCCTTTGAGACCAGGCTTTGCGTCCTCGAAAGTTGCGGGGACGAAGTCATTAGGTCAATTTGTCGCTGGCCCAATCCGAGCCAAGCGTGGTTGAAGTCGTTCCATAGCTGAATACGATCAGCATGAAGGTTGGTATCGTCAAGATTAAGACCTGGGTACGCACAGTAGTTAGCTCTGGCTTCCTTATGTTCCCCTCTACTGTTCCATAGACAGTGAAATACATACCTAGATCTGCGACCTGAGACAAAAGCCAGCTAGTGACGCTAAGCAATGTCGCAGAAGCACTCTCAAGAGATCCATTCACTGTCCCTAGCTGCCTCTGGTAACTGACCCATTTCTCTTCGAGGGCGCTTTCCGCATAGTCGTGGTCGTCTGTCATTGAAACATCGGCGGTGTTTGTTGCCTGTGGCATTGCGCTCACACTGGACATGCTGTTGCTCGCATAATTCATGTCATTGCTTTGTTGATAAACATTCGCAGATGCGCTTGAGCCCTGCGCCGGTCGCTGTAGACTCGAGCCAACTGAGGCCCCAGTCTCGGACCCAAACTCGCTTGAGGCAACGTCTGGGGGCATCATTTGCATAGCTGCAGGTCGCCGCGAACTGAATTGCTGCGCATCGTCAATCGTGTTTTGCGTACTCGGTTGGCCAACGTTATACATCGTTGTAGTTGCGGGGCTGTAGCCGCCCAAACCTTGTGTTTGGCGGGAGTCGTGGCCGTACTCAGGGCCATAAGCTATAGCTGTGCCAGGCATATTTGTCGTCGAGAACGATGCACTGGGTTCTGAATAGTAGTTACTGTAGTTACCCGGAGCTCTCATGCCTCGCCCTGATGATGAAGGGCCAGCAAGGGATGCAGGGCGATATCTGTCGTTGGAAATTCCAGCGAGCGAACGGCGCTGTTGTGACGGATCGTTGAGTGAGTATCTCTGATTGGGGTTCGAATGGACCGGCGGTTCATTCTGCCTACTCATACGATTCGAGTCATCCATGCTGTTCTAAGCTGATGGGTGGTCCGCAATGTTGGTGACTGTAAGGCAGCCAGTTTCGACGACCGGGATTAGTTGAATAAAAAGCACGGCGGTATCGTTTGGAGTAGTCTGGGCAGCAGTAAATTTGAAAACGGAAAAATCAGCTAGGAGATAGTTTGCCCATATACCAATGTTGTCGAATCGCCAAAGAAAGTGACAGCCTCAGTAGCGAGCTTGATCATGATATATAAACGTTTGGAAAGGGGTGACCGAGGACTGCATATCACTCTAGAAAGTGTTGCTCAAGGACTTCAAGGACCAGCGCTGACTGTACACAGGCTACCATATGATCGCCTTACTTTCAACTTGTTGGTCTGCAAGACCAACAATGCAGCCTCGCTCCTACGTGCCCAATCGCCTACACACCATGCCATGTCTACGCAGGAGAGGCTCGAAGGAGATATCGCTGGGCTTTTTCTATTTAGGATCTCATTCGTTACTCAAGCGGTCACAGAAGAAGGCCTGGCACCTCACCTATGGGGGTAGACAATGCTAGCAATGATGCTTGGAAATGTCGCGTATTGGACTTCGTGAATTTGGCCTCCAGCTCTGGATCCACCAGCCAGCCCCGCAAACACGAATACCACGTTTAGTTATCAATAAAGCCAATCTGAAGAGGGCGTCTTAGGGCCACGCCTGGTTACATTGTCTCGCGCTGTTTGTGTGCATCGTGCCCTGCTAGCAGACGAGTAATGGTATCATGCGTGGTTCCTTGCAGAAGCGCTTACAGCATGGACCGCCAGTTGATGCGCTGCACTAACCCCGCCGGGCGCTACGTCTTCGCTTCTCCATTGTTCACTGCACAAGAACAGCGGGGTCCAGACCACGTCATTAACCCCTCCAAAGTCATTTGTGACACGAGTCAAACTGCAGGAACACCGTTTGATGCATGACAAGATCAGCCAAACTATGCATCTAGGTAATCCACACCTCCTCTACCGACCTCAGTGTAGTTGTCTTCAGAAATGCCAAGAAACGTAAAGCAACGAGGCCAGGTTGCACTCTTGACGGATTGATGCTTCCCCGAACAGAGTCATCGAAGTGTCTTCCCTCATAAGCTTATCTCATAGCATCGGTTGCATTTTGCTGGTGGAGGGTAAGCATGGGAGAGAATTGGCAGGGTCGGCTACAATTTTTTCTGTGTATTTCTACCTCTTCAAGATTGGGTAATTGGAGCAACGCTTGCTTGGGCTTCATTAACTTTGGACCGGAAATCAGAATGTGATGAAAAGATAAATGAGCATCCCGTCACTGGTTGCACCAAGTTCTGTCGCTCGCAATCGCAGTTACGCTTGAATGCGGGGCATCTACAAACATCTAAAAGGGTAGGTGGGGTTGAGTACGGGACACAATAAAGCCACTCAGGGGCGGAATTGACGTCGTTCTACCCTGATCCGGTCATCAGTCGAAAGATCGGTCGGTGATCCCGGCTGAGGAACCACCCAGCGGCGACGGATGGGTCGACCACTTCCCCGACGGACTTTCCTACATCTCAAAAGAGATGGCTCGAAGCGCCACTGCTGACAATCGTGACAACATTCACATGCACGGGTCAATTGGCCGCTGCATCCACAATGAACGATGCAGCATCCCCTGAAGTGTATTGTGGAGACCCGGCATACCGTTCTTTCAAGTCGTGTAAGTGGGTGGACTGAGATGATGGAGGGTACTGATATGCCACCATAATGGACCAGGAACAACAGTCACGCTTCACATGAAGAGGCAGGAGCGGAAGCTCAGGAGGTTCAAGGGATTTGGCGGTTAGACATAACTCTCCTTATAAGGAAATGTCACGGCTTGACAGCAATCACCGACAGAGCAACATAGATACTTGTGATGGATCTAATCCTTTCCCCCATGACTCCCTCCGCGGCTCTGTGAATGGCCAGGCAGGCACTAGTGAGAGTTGAAAGACTACAAAGAGTATCACTAACGAGGGGGGCCCAGGAGAGCGGGCAGTATTGTAGGCAATTGTGCGATAGGCTGCTCTTAGATATATTGAAACTAGGCAATTACTTAGTATATTTGATAGCAGGAGTCCAACTTGATATTTCACCATGAATGATCACGAAATGTCGATGTGAGATGACTATATCGCTCGTCTTGGCTAGCGCAACAGTCAAAGTTCCGAGACTCCCAACCGTTCATTGCAAAGGCAAAACGTATACTTCAGTACTAGCCTTGTCCTTTTATTCATCCAAGCATCCATGGTCTAATGCCACCTCGCATTGCTTTCGCCCTACTCCTTGACCCGAGATTATGTTTGCTTGTTCTCTTCCTTTCCTCCTTTTCTTTCCGTAGTACCTCATCCGGCATCGGCGCCCCCTTTCCGTTATCACAGCCTTTTGCTCGATCCTTGATCCTAGCCATTCTAATTCACTGTCCATGTCATTCCCTCATATTCCGACACCGCTTGGAAACAGCAACCTCAGACGGTCAGTCTCGTTCGGAATCTTCTCTCGTTTCTATATATATTTAATATCCCGAATCTCCCAAGTTTGTATCATTACCCTGATATCTCTGCTTCTCCTCGAACGATCCATTCGTCCAAGATCTCTTGATATCTGACTTCAGTGTTGGAGTATCATAGACTGCCATACAACATTGGAGTATCTTCAGCAATACTTCACATACAGCCACTGCCGTTCTGCCACCTGCATTCACTTATGTGCGTTTGCTGGCTTATATTCTGTGCTCAAAGCTAATCCTGTTGCAATCCTACGAAGACACCAGACGATACTTGGCCGTTCAACCTACTCCATATTACCAAGTGTTCTCTACTCAGTATTATAAGCCTTCCTCACGAGACGCACAAGCTACTGCATCTGCGGAAAATATGGCCAACGCTTGTGCCCATCAGTTTCGGATGATTAAATCTGATAGTACTCTGGTACAGTGGATTTGTCAACACTGCCGCTCTGGACCTCACTGGATGATCTGGGAATGCACATATTGCAAGCTGCATCTATGCCGACCTTGCACACAGTCTGCTTGAGACTGTGCCGAAGACTCCTCGGCCAAGTCAGTGTATGGCATTTGGGCGCGGACTGGTTATGAGTTCATTGTATTTTGCTGTACGCTCGTGTCATGCTTTGGGGGTTGGGGCCGACCTGACGGACACGTGTGAAGATCATGTAATTGGATAGACGGCTGTCCATTTTCTGGAGGCGGGCATGTTATCTAAATAGAGAACAAAGATTCAGCCCTGATTCTAAATAGAGTAATAAAAGAAGAAAAGTAACAAGTGCCATTCGGTGACCCCTGATGTGTTCCAAATTTGGTTGAATCAGAAGAAGTCCTTCATTTTGAGCAATGGCACTCTTTCGTAATCTAGTAGATCATTTCCAAACCGTCATGTCATGATGATGATGTAATCAATCCACCAGACTGATCTCCAAGTATGATAGGAGATACTTTCGACCCTACCACAGCCGGTACGATGAGTTCATCTGTAAGTAATGGGGCATAGATCGTAGGTATCCTTGATCGTCCATCTGATGCGGTATCTGAAGCGGCGCGGCCATGGGAACAGGTCCTGGAGTACGGTAGCCAGGTGAGCTCGTGCGGCTCGAGAAGCTGGAGTTGGTCCTCGGATCGTAGCTGAAAGGATCACTCTGTAGGCCTTCAAGGACGTGCATATCAGTTCGCAGTGCACTCGTTGTCGTAGCTGACTGTCGCAAAGGCTGTATCGTCTTGTGGAAGAGTTTTTGGAGTAGTTCCTCATCCAAGTAGATGTAAATGGTTGGATTACGGAATGCAGCTGATAGAACCAACAGGCTACCATACTGGCTAGGGCATTGTCAGTTTGAGGAGCATCAGTTGAAGACACAAGACTTACTACATCCAGAATGGCGGGTTTCTGCATGATTTGCAGACCTGAAAGATGGAGTCCCTGTGGAACGAGCCCCAGCAAATTTATCTCGATGTATGTCCTGCAATTTCAGCACGTTGGAAAAGGTGCGACTCGCGTATAGCGCTGCAACCTAATGCTCATACCCGGATGTGAGCTTCTGTATGGAACAGCTCTCGCCTAATAGTGTTATCTAGGCTTAGAGGTGACATAAGTTGTTCTGTTGTGCGTCGAGACCTCTTCTGAGGCCATCTCGGACCAGCTAGGTCAACTTCGACTTACAATTGATACGCCTGCGCGCTTCGTCCATGCTTGGAGCGCGCGCCCGTGATAAGGCGATACTCTGCGCTGAGATGATGGTGATCGTTTGTTCGAGTTTGGATTGAATGGTGACGGCTGGATGTGTTGAGAAGTTGGTTACTCAAGCATTATCTTGTCAGCGCGGCCATGACTAAGGCCAAAATGGTACCCTGATCAATCAGATAGCTCTCTGCCATGGTATAATGTCTAAGTTGTGAGCTAGATGTGTTATTTGCAGTTGAGACTTGTGGCTGAGAGCTTTATCCAGCCGAGACATGATAGAGCTCTCTGCCAACCACAGCCACTTTCAACAGCTTCAAAGGCATGAAAAGCGAAACTCCAACTGACGTTGAAAGCTTTAATTACGCTAAAGTTCAAGATAATACGAGTTCATAAATTCTCATCAACGTAGAGTAACGCCTAGTGGGGTCATGTGGTTTCAGCTAGTTTCAAGGCAAAGCATACTGGGTTCGGAGTTTAGGGTAGCCAAACTGAATTACGACAGGGCTTTACTCATATATATGACGAAAAAGCACCAGGTACTCCCCGAAAAGCGTGAATATTGGCACTGCAGGCATTAGAATCTTCTCACTCCTCATTAGGCAGCGGTACTATGCCCAGATTAAGGTGAACCACCAATGTATTAAATTTTCCTCAAATACACTAAATTATGCTCATCCTAGGGGATAGTACTTCGCTGACTACCACCAGGAAAAGACAATGGCAAAGAACGGCAAGAAATCGCATCATGAATAAACCTAGGCATCCAGAACAGGCCACCTTCGCCCCTCGGAAAGGCTCACTAGCTGTTGACGAAGCTTATTCCACCAGCTGTTGATGGGAATCGCCTTGACCGGGCAATTGCTCAGAAGCCATAGAATCCCACATATTATTGAGTTGCTCACTATTATCCAGGTCAGTTCCCAACCTTATCACAACTGTTCTCGGGGGCTTCACTTACGGTACTCTCTTAGCCATTTTCATACCCCTTTCTCGACAGAAGAACAGGAAGCGGCGCATTGTACGCGCTCTTGGAAAAGACGCCATAACATCGCCTCGAGGCTTGCCATCCACAGCAAGCTCTCCGACATCCTTTTTCATAATGATGTGAACACGAAGTGCTTCGATACTCCATTCCATCTCCTCAATCTCTGCGAGGTTGACGTGGAAATCGATCTCGTCCCTAAACAAGCCCCATTTCGCTGGTTTCACATCTTTGAGTACTTGGTGTTGAAAACATTGTATCTGACCAACCCAGGTCCAATACTGAGTGACACCGATATGGCTGGTATACAACCGAGTCTTGACTACAGCAAGCCGCCAGTCGTACTTCGTGATGCTACCTCCACTGCATGAATCTGTGTCGGACCAAGCCTCGAAGTGAAATTCGTCATGTACGGGGCTTCCATGTGTGAGCGGCATGTATTTCGGCTTCTTGTTGAGATGGGTACTGAATGCTGGCTGGGGACCAGGGGCGGGGGCCGACGCTGGTGCTGGATAGCTTGATGGTGCTTGGCTAGGAAGAGGAGAGTGGTGGATGAATGAATCCTCCCGGGGCGTAGTAGGAACAGAGTGCATAGATTTTCGCTTTTGGAGAGGTTTGGGTGTATTGCTAGGGCTGCCGTGACTCAGGTGCGCCTTCATGGTTCCCGAAGGACGTCCTCGGTTCTTGAATCCATGTCTACAACGAAGAGCGGTGAGCTTGGTGTCATCATGAAAATTGCGAATTGCTCGTGCCAGATTGAATTTGTGACCCTCTGTTTGAATTAGCTCGTGAAGTCGCTGTCGCATCCAGTCAGCCGGCGATACGTCAAGTTTGAACTTTCCGAGCTCCCATATTGTCTCTGAAAGGCTCAATAGTGTGCTGAATGACGTTATGCCGCCATAACCGCACTCGATGTATTTTTTACCCAATAACTGATAGGGGCTGATTGGGCCATTTTTGTGGAAGTCGAGAATTGTGATAGAGCGGCCGGCACGGCAAAGCCTCACACGGTCACGATTACTGCGCTTAGAGCTTGCTCCAATAGCGGCCTGGTGTCGATTAAGCCATAGAGTAAGCTGTGGCTTAATAAGTGTCTCGACGTTAAGCCAGTCGGGGTCCCAATAGGGGTGTTCCTCGTTAATCTTGACCAATGGCACCCCGGCAACGCATTCAGGAAAGGTGTAAATATTTCCGTCGTTCTTGAGGACCATACTCTCTCGGGTGATCTCTTCCAGTGGTTGGGCAGGGGGGGATTCAGGCGGCTGCGATGAAGGGTCCAGGGATAGAGATGGTGGAGTTGGTCTTCCTCGATCGCTGGACGGAGGTCGATTTCGCACGTTGGTCGGCGTAAAACCAGCAACTATGCGACACTCTTGTGGAGCGTGTATTTTCTCAAGCTCTGGTGACGTTTGGGTTGGATTATATCCGCAATAGTCTCTGGCAGGGTCTTCGAGCCCCGTCAATGGATGGAAGTCTGCATGAGGGTGGCGCAGAACGCCTGAGGGAAGAACAGAATGTGATGTCTCCAAGGGCCTAGGTTGAGGATATATCGGTGTCGGCAAGGGCGAGTCCACGGGTTCAATCATTCGTTCCGGGGCATAATCCGACCCGGAAGTCGTTGCCGGCCGGCTCTGGGGTTCTGGAGGCGGTCCATAGGCCGGTCTGTGGGACATTGCACGAGGGCGTTCAGCGATTTGGATTGGTGCTACCTCGGCAGTTCGTTCTGGGGCCTTCGCGGCGATCACATGATGGAACCGTTCATTACGTCGATCTGGAAATTTCTCAGGTTGGTGTTCAGAGCCTTGTTCTTGCTGTGGTGCAGTGGTCCGTGCTGCTTGACGCTCAGTCTGTGGCGCAGATTGAGGTTCAACAAGTCGTTCAGGCTGTTTTTCGGGTTGCAGTTCGTATTGTCGCTCAGCCTGTCTCTCATTTCGTCTATCCGGTTGTCTCTCAGGGGTTTGTAGAGCGGGTTTTAGTGAAGGTGGACGATAGGGCACAGAAATCGGTTCATCGACTCGCCGAGGCTCTGGCTGACTTGTTTTCTCAGACATCGAATGATGCACTGTTTCTGAGGATCGCTCTGCAGAAGTCTCTTGGGTTCCACCCTCCAGCTTCTTCTTCCGTTGTGCCCTCTCCCTCGAGGCCAGTATGTCAATGACGTTCTCTGAGGAACCATGGCATCCCTGGCGATTCCACTCATAGTTGCCACACTTCTGGAAGGGATCCCCGCCGACGATGATGCAGTCGTCGTCTTCTTCTTCTTCCTCTTCTTCAGGTCTCTCTGCTACCACTGCAGTTCCATTAGTGGGCTCTACTTGTGGGGTCGTTCCATTAAAGCCCGAGGATACCTCTGGTAACATTTCGGGTAGAACAATGCCTTCTGATTCTGGTCCAAGATGGTCTGGGATATCAGGATCATCTCCTCTTTTTTGTCTAAAGAATCGACGCATTTTGAACCAAATATCATGGAGCGTTTCTGCTCTCTTCTGGCGCGACGCGCGGTAGTCCTGCTCAATGCGCTCAAGTCGACTGGCCTTCTCCTCGCACTCATCCGTGGTGCATGCCAATTCAGCCTCAACTTTGGCGAGTTCCCTGGCCAGTCGAGATTGAGATTCTTTTAGTTGACTTCGCAGTCCTGTAAGGTCACTGAGTTTCAACCTGACTTCGTTAATCGAGAGCTGGAAATCCTTCTCAATCTTTTTGTTTTCTGCATCCTTCTTGGTGCGAAGATTAACCCAAAAATTGCGTTCTGTCTCATCCCAAACAGACTTTTGCTCCCCCTCTGGGAGAGAGTCCCAGACATCTTCCCCTGTGGCCATTTTTACAAAGAGCTTGTAGGTCTCATGGGCCTTTGTCGTGTAGGAACGAGCACAGTAGGGTATGACTGAGAATGAAATGGAGAAACAAGGTAATATGAATGGAAAGACGGTCAAACGATGACCTTGGATGCAGAGGCGGATGTAGTGATAAGCGTCCACCGATTGACATAGTAGTTTGGGCGGCAACACATGCAGGAAACCCTACAACTATATAACAGGAGGAGCTAAACTAAGGAGTGAACACCGATACTGCCAGGCTTCAATTTATCTCTCAGCTGTACTAACCCCTGTTTCCCTGCCATCGGCCCCTGGATGCTGCATTAGATCCGATTTAATCACAATGACCTCGCTTAAATTCATCCCGGACACGCGCTATCGAAGAACCTGGCTGCTAAAGCTGACGACTAGGTACCCGCTACCAGCGACTGAAACGGGAATACAGGGATACAGGTCCGGGTCGATCACTCATAACAGATCGACTCAGACCATGCGCCCGCCTAGGTTAGTCCAGACCCTTCTGTTGTCATCTTTCAACCCCCCTGCGTCCTGTGCGGGGATTTGTAGTACCAACTTCATAAAACCGTCCACCTCCGGAAAACCATAAAATGGGGCCGACAACACATCTGTATCTCCATGACGCACAGCCAGCAAATTTTATCGCCGCGGACGACTCAAGTCAGTGTCACCAGCGCTTATATGCCTCGTCTTTCCCATCACCTATACCTTTTATCCATTCCCATGTCCAAAAAGCAGCTATATATATGCCTTGCCGCATCTTTGGTCGCTGTCGGTACTTTGATCTACCTGTTGAATGTGGTGGAAGGGCCATGACGCAGTGGCGCTGCATGCTGAGCCTTGGGCCTTTGTTAGTCTGATCCGCCTCGTGTAATGGATGTCAGTATTCCATCCTGCCTGATGAAAACATCATCACTCACTTCTCACAGAACAGGCCTCAAGAGGGTGTCTTGGTTTCAATATAGCATATGCACGACCGGGGAGGAACAAAAACCTTGGCTGGCGTCATGATATGATTTGATGGCAGAGTAGCGAGTTGAAGTAAGTGAAGACATTAATTGTCTGCCTCTTGCCGCTAAGGATGCAGTTTACCTACAAGAATGAGCTACCCCGATTCGGTGATGGTCACGTCCCGTTAGCGTCGAGTGCAAGGTACGGATGTATGCGATGTTTTAGCCTTCTGCCAGTATAAGATGAAACAATCGGAATCGACTTCCGATAGGCTACTGGCTACTGTTGTGGGGGCTGTAGCTCTCTCCGCAAAAGAACTGGAAGCGACGCATTGCGGGTTCTTGTAAGAAAAAGGCCTTGAGGCTTTCTGTTTGCAGAAGGCTCTTCAGCTTCCTTATTCATGATGAGGTGAACGTGAAGTGCTCCGATACTCCATCTGATCTCGACCATCTTGGCAATATGACGGTAATTTCTCATATACTAACCAGCCACTCCTTTCTCGAGGCGCAGACTCTGTTGGCTACGGAAGACATGACAAACCTAGCTGGCAAGCCGGGACAAGAGAGACCGTTGTTGTCAACAATGAGGCAAAACCGCCCCTACTACGCAGACTCTGTTCCAGAACATCGCTTTCACGTGAAGCTTAATTGATTTGCCTCAACATTCTGGCAGTGCGAGGTCTTTTTTAGACTTTGAGAATGTTGACTTGCTTCACAATCAGCACCACTTGAGATGACCCGTCCTTGTCTACAACGTCAAGCTTCTTACGCCAGCACCCGAAGCAAGCGCGAACGCTACATCAGCTCCGATGACTTGGACTAGTTGATTGCTTCCATTGTTCACGACAAGGGTCCTCTTTTAGGCCATCCCCATGACGGTCTTGTTATCAAGGAGTCTTTGTCAGTTCCTTTCATCAAAGTTTGGAGGCTAGGATGGCTGTTGGGTACTGGACTCATGTCAACCTAGTTTTCTCCGCGACATGAGTGGAATTGCGAGAGAAATGTTCTAACGCATAACGAGATAACCTAGTATAGATTTCTATTCGTACCGTTTAAGACGCCACTCAAGGGTTAAACCCGATGAAACCCTTTCTATTGCTACGCATTTGCTATCTCACAAACAAGAACGTTGTCCAAGCAAATGAGAGACACGGCATAGCCATATAATTCGGTAAGCAGTGCCAAGGGTCGAGTTTCCTTCATCGAGTTCTGGCCAACAGGGAGGCCCCAATGCTGTCAGATGACCGCACTGCGACAGGAAATAAAAGGCCCAAAGTAGACAAAAGAGCAGTTCAGAGAAGTGAATTCAATATATGTAATATATGTAAGGAGTGAGTCAATCGTCGCTGGGGTACGTCTCCTGCTTCATGGCATCGCTAAAGTGTGTCATGGAAGGAAGTGTCATGGGCACTGTAGACGCTGTCATGTAGTTGGGGTAGGCATCAGCGGTTGCGATAGCTGGGTATGACTGAGTAGACCCGTACGGTGCGAGGAGGATCTCATCGGGAGCCGGGTATGTTGGGTATGTGAACTGAGGAGGGCTGTCTGAGCAAGCTCGGTCGTCGCCGGGGGGGAAAAGCTCGTTTACAGGCTCCAAGGGAGGAGTGAAATGGCTCTGTGAAGCAAAAGACTTGCTAGGAGATCTGCATTGCATTTTTTGAGACTTGGGTGCTGAGGGAGATCGCTTCGACTTGGTAGGCTTCTGCGACTGCTTGTCGGACTCGGCATCGTCAGAAGAACCAGCACGGCGCTCGAGGTCTTCAAGACGGCGCTTCAGTTTCTTGCCTGTAAGGAAATGTGAGTTGTGTAAACGGCCAAGACCATAGAGCGAGTTCAGAGTCCATAGGATAACATACGGTAGTTGCGTTGTGCAATGCGGTTCTGGATCCTTCGGCGCTCAGCGAGGTCTGAGATCTTAGTCCAGTCCTCGTCAGGATTGGCAGAAGCGCTGAAAGCGCTGCTTGTTCCCGAGTATTGCCTTGGAGGTGGAGGGGCCGCTGCGTAGGCGTAGGCAGGTTGTGTCATGAACATGGACATTGTCTAGGCGCTTTTATAGTGAGTGTGCAGTTATTGCAATGATACTCGAAGTGGACAGACAGTGTTGTGATGGAAGGTGGTGATCGACGTGCAGGAGATGTGGAAGTGCTATTATGCCAGAGCTGGTGATTGTTTCAATGACGGACAGAAAGTGAGATGGAAATATGAAGAGAAGAGACTGGGTATTAATACTTTCGTGTAAGGCATGGGCTGTTGGAAGCGAAAACGCAGCTTGTAATAGTTGCGTTGACGCCTAGTAAATAGCTTGACTAACTGCCTTGTAAGGCGTTCAGCGCCTCAAAACTGGAAAGGCATCCCCGTCATTAAGTCTGGTCAATTCAGCCTCACGGTTGGCTCTGGATCTCGGAGGGGTTGAAAGCAACCAGAATCCTATATGCCATATGCGAGGATGAATTTCGATTCGGTACCATTCCTTCGCCCTAGGCCAATGGTTACGCGCTGCCATGATTTCTTGTAGAGGCTGAGTAGCGTCCCAGTCCAGGGTATCGCCAGGCAGCAGCTGAGGCTCTGCTATCTCAACAAGTATAGTACGAGTAGATATTATTTTATTGAGATCATGAGGCCAAGGCGTCTGGACACGATAGTCCAGAGGTATTTTGGTGGCTCCTAGCTATTTGCTACATTTTTGCCGGCGTACGTCTTTTTGTTTGGGGTCAATAATAACATCGCGAGAAGCAGCTCATCAGCGTTTAGGCAAAGACCTCTCAAATTCGCCGCCTCTTAAATTAGAGATCCTTCTACCTTTCAGAGGTCTGGGACTCAAAAAACTGTTACAAGGGTAGCCTGGGTTGAGCCCCATAGTCTTGAGAAGGAAGAAGCCTTAATGCTGGCTGACACAGGTCCTCCGCCTCAGCCTCGCTCCTGGGAGAACAGGGAACGTGAGCAAGCCTGCCAAATTGATGATTCGAATCTCAGCACGATCGATAGAAATTGGAGAGCCAGATGTCGGGAGTTCTGCATTTGATCACCAGCAAGTTCTTGTTGAAACTACGTTGAGGTTGGCTCCAAATATCATGTGGTATTGACCGCGGGCACTGGATACAAATCGCAAAGAGCATTGCCTTTGAAGTTCAACTTATTCATGTAAGAGCTATGACTAGGGATCAATTTTACTTATATACAGATTGAGAATATATCAGCGAGTTGTAATTATTTGCAAGAATGAAAAAGGAAAATTCGACAGCAGCAAGCTTGTGTGAACGCGCCGCATAGCCATTCAAGCAATCAGCTTGCTTCACTATCTCTCAGAAAGAGACCCTCTTTTCCATTGCCGTGATATGACCATGGCAGATGTTCCTTGTCCAAAAAAGAAACCCTCACTATACCCTGTATGTGAAAATGCTGTTTCTGGTCCCTTGGCATATATAGCACTGTCGGCTTATACCCGTTTGTGGCGGTTCTTTCTGAGATCTGCTGGTGGATTCTCAGTGCATGCGCCCGTGGTAGCCCGTTTCACGCGTGCTACTGGTCTTGTATAGCATGCCGTTGTTGTTCGGTGGCTGGATGTGGTGATGACTATGCACGTCATAAACCTCATAGCCACCATTATGAGTCTGGCAAGACATGTGGTTGATAGGAGCGGGTGGGTCCTGAGTCAAACTATAGGAAGCGAGGCTGCCCGGTACAGGGAGTCCGTGAGGATTCGCTGGGATTGGGAGAGCTTGAGGGAGAGGAGATTGGGGCACAGCTGTCATGGTATTGGCAGGAGGAGACTGGGACGCCTCGATCTTACGTTTCACAACTTTACGGCCTTTTCCTCTTCCCTTCGTCCCTTTATTGCTGTTCCTGTAGTGCGTGGCGAAGTACTCAAAAAGCTCGCGATCGGCTTCGGCGATTTCCTCACCCGAGGCAATGATTTTGTCGAACTTCATTGTTAGTTCCTTGAGTGTCCTCTTGTGGAACTTGTTTTGGTGCGTCTAGCAACTGATTAGAACGTCGTCTATTTCGAGGACCCTTTACACATACCTTCATGTTTCCGAGAGTTGTGAGTGGCTTGTTACAATCGTCGAGAATGCAAACAAAGGGCTTGAGGCTTTGGTGAGTGTTTAGGTGGGTAGTAAGGTTGCTCCTTTGACAAAATCTTTTTTCGCACTTGTCGCAAGCAAAGGGGCGTTCGTCAGTGTGACGAAGTCTGTGACTCTTGAGGTTGCCACGTTGAGAGAAAGTCAGGTCGCAGCCAGGAAAGTCACAGTTCTTAAGGTGTTAGTTGAAAGTCACCGGACGTGGAGAATTTCACTCACGTATGGCTTCTCGCCGGTGTGTGTCCTGAGATGGATTTCGAGATGAGTACTTCCGGCAAGTTTTTTCCCGCATACATCGCAGAGATATCTGCTGTCCATAGGACCTGGTGTTCTTTGACTTCCAAAGCTTGCCTCGCTGGCAGGAGACATTCCAGCAGTGAGTGGCTGCTGTACTGTATCGGCTTGCAGGTCTGTCTTGCGTTGGATGGCTTTCATCAGCTCATCCACTTCTGTTTCGAAGTTGACCTGATCACCAGGGTTGAGAGTTTCGTTGGAGATGATAGTCCTCGAGCTCATAGATGGGTTGGTACCCGAGGATCCAACATTCGAGCCTTGCGAATGGCTTCGTGCCGGAGAAGGTGCTTGTTCAGCATATGTACACTCCATCTCCCGAGAATAAAGGAGAATTTGGCCGCGGTCGTTATCATGTCTCATAAGTCGGCGATCGACACATTCTATTTTGAAAGGCGTTGAGTGGTGGGGAGGCGTAGGCGGGCCTTGGTATCCTCCAAATTGGTTGGGATTGGGAACCTGGCAGTGAGGTGCCGTGAGGCTGTTCACTGGACCTGAGCTGTAAGGTGGCTGGACCATGTACGGTGTCATGACAGGTCGACGGAGAGGATCAGTAGTGGTGGCTCGAGAGTCAAGAGGAATCATGTGTGGAAATTCCATCGTGGTATAGTCGCCAGGTAGTTGTTGCGACCAGCGCCCCCAGTTGGGAGCGTGTGAAGATTGGGCTGTAAGGGCCATTTCCAAATCCAAGTTATTCTTGCTCACAAAACAAGGCTAATAGATTCTGTTGTCTGGATTGGTGCTCAAGGGGACACCGGGCAAGACTTGGCGCTGTTGGAGATGAAGTGTGACAGACGAAAAGTACCCAAATCTACGTAGAGAAGCCAAAGCAAAGTATGTAGGAGAGGATGAATAGTGGTATAAGTTATGGGCAGGAGATTTGACCAGATAGCTAAGCAATCCGGTGGGCTCATGTATATATATACGAGGAATGTGACATATGACAAGCATCCTGCCCCGAAAGACTCTCGGGAGCGAAATGAGTAATCTCTCTACAATGGCCGCATTGAATCCAATCGATTCGCGTGGCTGCCAAGCCGACGTAGGTGGTATAACGATCGATGCTGGCGGCATCATGTTCCCCTGCATAATTATGCACGAGTCCCGATGGGTCAAGATTCTCCCTCCCCTGTGGAGATGACCTACTCTCGGACTCCCAATACGGAGGCGCGCTGAGCAGATCCTCTTGGCTACTCCTTGCTGCACCAATGGTATACAGTACGATCGCATCATGATCCCCCCACGCCATGCAGTTGTTTGATCCCTGTGCGCTTTTTGCCCTGTGCGGTAAGGTGCCCACTAAGTGTCGGATGTGTACATTGTGTTCCGTGCCTCGCACACCATCTCAGATCTAGCCGCCAGGTAGGGGCTCTCTCTGTCTGTGTCCACTGTTTCGTGAAAGGCGATGCGGAATAAGGATGTCGCACCGGGCTGTTAGCGTCGAGGGGCTGGAGTGGGTGATTATGTATACAGTATTAAAAATCTTATTTATAGGACGGCGATTGTACTCCACTTAGTCCTTGGTCAATGCGGGCACCCCTGACCCACTTGTCCAGAATGCTGGGAGGCAATACAAGAGCACTGTTTTGACCTGCTGCACCTGAGTACCCGAATATTTATTTATGTTTCGTCGAGACCCTGCATCGTTAGCAGGAGCTGATTCAACAGCATTACCTTCTTCACTACTGATTGAAAGTGATCTTAGTCTGGCGTTCGTCCACGACAACCACCCACTGCATTTCACTGAGATTCCGTCCGTTACAGAGCCACGCCTGACCCCGTTTTCAACCAGATTGTGATTCTTACAAGCACATACAGAATCCAGGATGGTTGGAAAAAGGAGAGAGACGGCTGGATTGATCCTGCCGAAAAAAACACACACAACTCGTCTCCGGCCCAACGAAGTAGTGCGATCAGATGAGTCAAGTCCTTTATCAGCGCTTTCTAAGACACCGGAGTGTCCATGGACGGAAGGCCGACAGACAGCATCAGTAGAGCCTATCCATCATATGTCCCGCACCGAAGACGCTTCCCATGCTCCCGAGCATGGCAAGTCCGCGCCTCCCGAGGCTGTAAGTCCCGAAAATGGACTTGGTAAGAGAAGGAAAGTAACAATAAAGAGCGGTGTTGAGACTCAGAGAGTCTATCAAGCACCGCATCCCTACTATAGCCCCGACCGAGTTCCACCCCGGCGAACTTCGCCAAACATGCCCAAGCATCAGGAGAATTGGGCGAGTCCCGTAGGAATTGGCCCAGTTCTGACAATTGCCAATGAACAAGCAAAGTCTCGACCAATAAGGCCCAGTCATCCACATTCTGTATCGCTACATTTACCTGTGGGAAGCGGTCCAGTGCCTCCAGAGGGCTATCCACCATTTCGGCAGCCAATACGACCTTCACAGAACACCATTTCTGAATCTGGCGTCTCACCTTATTCCGAGTGCAGCTATGGACATCCTTACCATCGCCCAGCACATTGTCAGTCATTTTGTGCTCAGGTAGCATACTACTCACAAGACCAGGCTTGTGCTCCGTACCGAGGTATTGATCCTATCAATATCAGCCACGACAAGAAACAACAAAAGCGAAAGCGAACTATATCTGGGGTTCAAGATATGCACAGAAAGTTTTTCGCGGCAAGCCTTCAGTATCCATACCTAACTGAGGATGAGAAGCAATATCTCATGCGACAGACCGGACTTTCGATGGGTAATTTGATTCAGGAGAGCTACCCGGGTGGCCAGGAAGAGTCTGCTCATCGTGGCACAATCTTTTTCAGTTTCACTAGAACTGTCGAAGCCTTCACTGGTAGCATATCGATAGATCTTGAAGCCCCCTCGCCTCGAGCTGGGTACGACAGACCTCCGGTGCTTACGAGAGACCGAGCCATAGTTGGGCCTCCATTGCTTCTTGAACCGCCCGCCCCTCTACCAAAGGTTCCGGATTTAAAAGAAATCCAATTTATACCAGAACGACAGTTGGCCCCGATAAGGAACCAGCCACCGTCCCAAACTGCTATTTTCTTTTTCCTAGAGTTTATAAACTACAGGGCTCTATTATAGCGGTCGCTGTGCCTAACATGAGGTCTGTAAACGGAGTAAGCCAAGTTGCTCTGTACTCAAGCCTCGCGAATTATCCGACTGAATTGGCCGGGCACAAACGAAGAGCTTGTCTAGATAAGCTCACGCGAGAGGCGTCGAATCACATAGACTTCTAAACATCGAGGCAACTCCAAATAATAGCCATTGTAGTTACTTACAGCTCCCATACCTCGCCCTAGCAATGAAGGAACAGCAACAGATGCAGAGCTATATCTGTCGTTGAAGATTCTAGCGAGTCTAGGGCAGTGTTGTGACGGATCGGTGAAATGAATATCTCTGATTGGGGCTCGAATGGACCGGCGTTCCAATCTGACTTCTCATACGGCTCGAGTCGTCCATGCCCGAAGACGTCCAATGCCACAAGATGCTGCTGGATCTCAGTCGACAGTGGTTGGGAAATGCTGGTGACTGTAGGGCAGGCGGTTTCGATGGATCCAAGTGGTTACATAATTCGAGCTGTAATATTGATAGTGAGTCAAAATGTTCTCTTCAACGCAAAACTGCATGCACAACGAATCGTGTAGCAACACGAAGATATTCTGTCGCATTTGACCTTGAGGCTGTTTCTACATTGCCAAATAGCATCTTATTAGCATTTAAAACCCCCTTACAAGACACACAAGCCGTTGGCTCTGTCCACAACATGGCCAACGGTTGTGCCCATCAATTTTAGGTGATCAAATCAGATAACACTCTGGTCCAGTTAATTTGCCAACACTGCCGCTCTGGCCCTCATTGGATGATTTGGGAATGCACATGCTGTAAGCTGCATCTATGTCGACCTTGCACGTAGTCTTCTTGAGACTGTAAAAAGCTCCTCGGCTAACTATAGCTTTCACGCAGGGACTCGGTGTGCCTTCAGTGTGTTTTGCTGTGCTATTTGGTCATGGCCGGGGGGGTAGGGGCTGACATGACGGACATGATATGAGTGCCCACACAATCACATGGACGTCTTGGTGGTCTTCGTATGCATACGGCGTAAAGATTCAGCATTCATTCTAAGTACAGTAGCGCGAAATCACCTTGACTAGAAGAGCAAGAAAAATAGTAAGTGCCATGTGATTGCCCCTTGATCCGCTTCAACTTCGATGGGAATAGAAAACACCCTTCATTCTGAGCAATGGCACTGCTTCGTAGACTAATGAATCATTCCCAAAACGCCATGTCATGATGATGATTATGATAGATGATAATGAGAGTCATCAGGACGGATCTTCAAGTCTCTGTGGGGAATATCTTTGGCCCTATCATTGCCAGAGCAATGGGTTCATATGTGAAGACCGTGGATATCGTTGATTGCCTATTGGATGAGGTATCTGAGGCGGCGCGGCCATGGGAACAGGGCTTGAGGTGCAGTAGCCAGGCTCGCTTGTACCGCTCGAGAAGCTCGAGTTGGTCCTCGGATCGTAGCTGAAAAGATCTCTCTGTAGGCCTTCAAGGATGTGCATGTCAGTTCGAAGTGCGCTCGTTGCCGTTGCCGACTGTCGCAAAAAATGGATCGTCTTGTGGAACAGTGTTCGAAGTAGAACCTCATCTACGTAGGTGTGAAGGATTGGGTCACGGAATGCAGCTGATAGAATCAACAGGTTACCCCATTGGCTAGAGCGTGGTGGTTAGTTTGAGGCGCATCAGTTCAAGACGAAAGACCTACGCGTGAGCTGTGCCGAAGATATTGGTGATGATTGGCCTCTTATCTCCCAGACCGTGGAAAGCACGGGTGCTTTCAATGAGCGCTTTGATACCCTTCTTAGCTAACTCAACTACTTGAGGATCGATATCGCCATGCGTTCTAGCCTTGGGATGAATAACAGGCGCTGTGATGTCCTGTCGGAATTCGGAGCTGACGCTGGGAAAGTTGGGGCTCGATGCATGGTTCTTGATGGAGTGCGAGAACTGTAGAATCTGTCGGATGAAGGGGCGATAAGTGATCACCTGAGCTCCCCAGTACTTTGCCCGCAGTCTTGCTGCCAGAATATCATCTGCAGGGGGATCATCTTCGCTGAATGCAAAGCTAGGGGCAACCCAATGCATGCCCGAGACACCATCGGACACGGCGCCGACATTCCGGAACTTGTCTTTGCCAGGTTTGGCCGGATCTTCAGGGGCGTAAAACATTCTGTGGATGCTGTTGAGGTGGGTACGCAAGTATAGCTGACCTGGGTAACTATCCAAGATGCGCTGGTTGAAACCCTCCAAGAGACTCATGTTAGGGTGCGGCATGTCATCTTCATACGAGAGCAGTCCTGATGGGGGAAGTTGCATCTCTGCAATGAGATCACTCTCGAGCTGCAGACAAGTCCAGAACGTGAGAGCAAGCTGGTTATACTTGGTTTCCTGGATAAACTCGCTGTTGCGCTTGATTCGTCGCATTTTGTCCAAGCTCCTGCAATACTGTCAGCCACTCCTGATCTGTGTTCTATTAGAACTCATGGCACTTACGGTCTCATGATGACTTGGAGCTTGTGGCTGGCCCTTTGGATGAAAGCAAAACTCTCCATCGGTCTGCCCAACTGGCCATGATACAGCCCGGCAAAGATGTTGGCGTACACATTTTTCATATTGTTGTACGCGCCGGTGTGATTGCCAAGGATATCCGTGGCGTATGCAAAATACTCCAGGCCAGGGATGACCTCGTAGTTCTTCTTCAAACTGTAGCCAGAGCGGAAGGCACCTGTGCCATGACTACGAATATTACGGTCTTCCTCTTTGGGTGATGGCAAGCCTGATGAGTGAGAATGAGATGAGTACCCCGGCGGGAAGCCCAAATTGGGCGATGGCGGAATAGCTCCATTGCCGAGGGCAGGGCTTCTGTGAGGCAGAGACTCTGTAGGATGGACGACATCCGGCACGTTATCGCGGTGAAGGCAAACTTTACCCAAAGCCAGAACCGTGAGAACTAGAGCGGTATGGATGGACCGATCTGGTCGGCCGATACGTTGTGGCACCGATGCGGATGGCTCGGAGCCATCTGGTCCTGGTGGTCGCTTCCTCTTTGAGCCTGCAGCTTCTGGTGTCGAAGAGCCTCCTCCAACCGTGAAGGTAGGCTTTGATGTTTGTGACTTTGCTGAACGCGGCTGCGATGCAGGAAGGGTATCCAGAAAGTGTCTAACCCAGTAGTCCAACAGCTTTGGTTGAATGATAGGGTGCATGTTGAGAATGTTTTCCTTGAAACTTTCGACATACGCCCACACCTTCGGCTCAGAGAAATCAGGGTTGCCATCAACCAAAACACCTCCCTTGTATTCCACTTGGTCTGGAGGATTAAGTCCACCGTGCTGGTCCCAATGAGCTGCGCGCGAAGGAGATGCCATATCGGATGAATCGTCGGCCATATCCAAGTTGCCATGATCGGTTGGTTCTCTAACATGTCGCGAAGGATGGGAGTCTTCACCTCGACCATACACTATCAGAACACCTCGGTTCTGTTCTTGGCTGATGGGATATTCGCTAATGTACCGCACACCTTCGCGCTCGACGTGATGTTTTGTAAGCTCCCGGATGGAAGGCCATTCCAAGAGCAGGCCTGCCAGAGTCGTATGATTGATGGGAATCGCGGGCTCACCAGGGGGGACGGGCGGGCCTGGCTCTACCTCCATCTCATCCTCAGCCATCATACGCAATGGCATAGGCTCTGAAGATGGGTGATCGCGATGGGCGTCATTATAGTACGGATCCACAGAAGCGCCATTGGCAACGTAAGGTGATGCTGGCGCACGTTTGTACTCGTCCTCCACGGAGGACTCTGTCTTGAGAGCTGATGTCGCAAGATGCTTGGGCAAGAGGGATTCCATCCTGGTCAATCTCTGATCGAATCGTCCCAGGTGTGTCATGATCGAGCTAAGCGACGTCTTAATAGAACCGAGACCATCTAGAATGTCGGCTTGCGCTTTATCCGTCCTGTTAATAATTGTTAGTTTTTTGTTATCAAGCTGATGTGGACCTTTCAAAACCTACGCCTTGGGTACCGGGCCACGGTATATGCATGTCACGCCTCTTTCCTTGCAAGTTGTACATGGCATCGTCTCATCGCACTTGGCCTTCAGTTGCCGACAGCTATCGCACGCCTATATCCAATTAGAACTTGCGGTCTTCCAATTCTCAGGAGGCTTATACCTGAGAAGCTCGGTGTTTCTTTTTCCTGGAAGTGGGGGAAGATGAATAGACATTATAGGGGGGTTCGCGGGGAGTTGAAGAGTAGCCTGGTTGTTGCCCATAGGGCGCCTGATGGGGCACGGGAGTGCCCTGTGGGAAGCCGTGCGGATGATAGTTACTCGGTATTGGGGCCGTAGAAGGCGCGTCTTCATGATTCACTTGTCGCGGTGGATTATCCGGATATGCGCCAGGAGGAGGTGGTGGTGTTGACAACATCCCTTCGGACGCATGGCCCGTCGAATAAGGTTGGCGTCCATCCTCAGTACGGCACCGTTTTGGGGGAGGATCTTTTGGGCCGTACGGAGGTGGATGCTGCGCGTACTGCTGCTGTGGTGGGTGTTGAGGCTGTTGTTGCTGTTGGCGATAGCCTAGTTCGTGATAGCAAGCGTTAGACAAGTCAAGGAGAGCAATACCAAGAAGAGCTTAGAAGAGGAAGGGAAGAATTATGATGGACAGTACCGGCTGAAAGTGAAGGAGGACTCATTTCGAAATCAGGCTGAGAAGGAATTTGGAGAGGCGCTGCGTCATGCGAACCACCCGTTGCCTTGTCGGGTTGCACAGCATTTTAAGTCAATGTCCTTCCTCTACATCCAACCCGGACACCGGAGGGACGGGATTGACCCCTCGATTGCAGAAATTACGTACATTCTGCTATCAAGGGGATGCTGTTGACTTGCTTCCTGCACCGATCAAGGGTAGCACGACGGCGTGTAGTTGGTAGCTTGCCCTCGCGCACTTCTGCCTCATGAGGCAAGGTGACGTCTCGGAACCCACAAAACGTGGGATGCTATTTCAGCTCCAAGCTCGGACGCATGCGACAGGGGTCTTTGATAGTATCTCGCCACACCCTGTTTGCGCGGACGATCTTCTAAAATACGGAACCAGGATGCTGAACAAGGTTGGCGCACGGGGCTGTTAGCGCCATGGTGTTGGCTTTGAGAAGTCATGTATACAGTGTCATCTCAAGAGTAACGGCCGATCATCCCCACTCGTCCCTGACATCTCTCGCTAGTGGGCAACTGTGATTAGCATGTGTCCATCACGATAATAAACTACAAAACGTACTAGCCGAGTACGATTGAGCATCGTCGCAGACATTTGTGAAGGCGTTATCATGGCCAGATCGAGACATGAATTTAGCCAGCACGAGTTATATCATTCGTGACATCTTCAGCGATGTTTTCCCTTTGATATATACTGTAGCAAATGGTATATTTCCTAGTAGATAGTATCGAGACGCTAGATCTTGGGGGTCATAAGTAATATGCCCTGTATGAATTCACGGGCCCAAGAATGTCTATTGGTGGAGTCTGTGCTACCGGCAGCACCATCATCAAAGTCCATGGCTGTCTGGAATGGAAACAACTCGATATGATCCAACAGCCTCGCCTGATCAGATGGCAGGGGCTGCTCGTGGGGATGCGAATGATATCCCATGGCCTCATCGCAGCTTCCAACATCCTGTCTATCAATTATAATATTCACCTTTCTGAAAATTGACAACATTCTCTCTGCTTCTCACAATATCACTTTTAATTTAAAATATTCATGCGCAATCTGTCATATTTAGGCGTAATTCATCGGGGTGGTATTGATACAAGAGTGCAACCAGCATTCCCTCCTTGTACGCTGAACCTACGACTTCCCAGACCTTGTCCTGCCTTTGGCTTTTCTTGTAGCCTCCTTTGTCTCCGTTCTCCTTTGTTTATTTTCCTGTGCTCCGAGCGTCCTAGGCCCTGTCCTGCCTTTCTTGGGTTCTCTTCCAGGCTGTTTTTTCTCTGCCTTCTTTCGCTTACTTGTTTGCACTCCCGAGTCAGGTTTGGGGCAAGTTTTCCCTGTGCTCAATTTATCCACAATCATCTGGTTGAATATAAGCTTTGAAAACTAATCTAGCACGGTAACTCACCTCCAAGGTTTCTTCGGCTTTGCGCTTCTCATTTATATCAGGGAATCCAGGCTTACCATCCTCCCAGAAGTCAAAAAGTATCTCCATGGCCTGGACAAAGCAACTGACATGCGTGTCATTTGTAATATCGGGGAAGCGAATCTCGAAGAGTGTTTGATCCAGTATATCCTGAATCATCGATGGGTGCCAGTACATGATGCAGCTCGTTATAGCATTTTCCTCATGGGTTAGTACGCTATGAAGCGTCCCTGCAGGCTGAATAAGCTCATAGCCTCCTTCCAAGAATATAGTGAATCTTTTTCCAGAGTACTCTCCGAACTTCACGACTTCTTCTAACATATTTCTGTCCTGCTCGCGTGCTATGTTCCAGAACTTGTATCCAGACCAGAGCTTGAGCCTCGTGATAAATCCATGTTTATCAAGATGATCAAGGCTCATTGCGTCAGGGGTTCCAACTAACTTCACTCTGATCGCCTTCAGAAGACAACCCAAGTCAAGCCCTCGTTCCTTTGCCGCCTCGCAAAGTTCTGAAACCAAACTGAAGCCTTCAATCTTGCCCATCCAGTCTTCTTCCTCTGGGTCCATTGGGATATTCAGTATATTCAGCACTGGGCCCTTGCCGCTCTCGTATTGCTGCATAGTTCTTGCAGCAGGCATTAACTCAGGGTCGTGATTGTTGGCATCCTTGCTGTAGTCGAAAACATGCAGTGGTGGCCCGGCTTTGATTCGGCGTATTAACTCGCGGCAGTGCTCTCTACGCTCGCGACTGCCAACCTTATCGTTAGGTATTGGAAGGATTAGAATAGGTAATCGAGGTGGACCAGTTTTTTGGAGAATCTCCCGAGCTTCTTCACGAGAGCAAATGACAAACTTGTTGCTGCCTTTCTCCCACTTTCCCTTCATGTAATCATGCTTAGTGATAGGCTCACCAAGCTCCAGAGTACTCATGCATTCTGACATACATTTCGAGTTCTCATGTATCCTAGTATGTTTCTTGGACCCTTTGATGTTTTCCTTGAGACGTTCTCGGGCCTTGTCAAGGTGCCCGTTGCCACTGATTATGTACTTCTCAAAAGCCTTCTTCCGGCATCTCGACAAGTTACTCATTCGGCACTGGTGATCCGGATGATAAAAGCATGTGACGAGAGGGTCTTTATGGTTGTTCTTCCTTTCCATAAAACTTTTTTTCGAGACATCATGCCTTCGCTTCGCATGCTTTGAGCGAAGTTCCGGGTTTGAGGATCCGGCTGTTGAGCCACATTGAGGGCAGGGAACCAGGTGAGGTGGACAGAAATACTCCGCCCATTCCTCATCTGTAATATGCTTCTCCTCCATAATATAGATAAGAAGCGGGTGCGTAACGGCAATCAAGACTCGTAGTTAAGATAAGCCACCCAATGGGTAAAAGGAATGTCCAACTGACGGGTGCAATGTCCAATTGACGGGTGCAATGTCCAACTGACGGGTGCAATGTCCAATTGACGTGTGCAATGTCCAACTGACGGGTGAAATGTCTAATTGACGGGTGCAATGTCCAATTGACGGGTGAAATGTCTAATTGACGGGTGCAATGTCCAATTGACGGGTGCAATGTCCAACTGACGGGTGAAATGTCTAATTGACGGGTAAGGTAGTGTCCAGTTGACGGGTGAAATGTCCAAATGACGGGTGAGGTAGTGTCCAGTTGACGGGTTCCTTATTAGACCGTGTCCCCTTCCTACATTGCTTCTTCATAGCCAAGTTCGATGACCTGACCGCACCACCTGCAGAACGACGAGGCTTCAACATCCTAGACATGGAGATGCTATGCTCACACCCATTACGCAGCCCCTGACTATTTCCCTACATGAGGCTGCAGGATCACCAACATGTTCCCATCCCAACGAACCATGGCTGCATTCCGTTCCCTCGTACCCTGCAACTACTTCCCATTCTCAAACCTGCATTGTGTTCGCAGGGGTCTAGAAAGAGCATCCAACAGGTTGTGCGTCCTACTGCATTTGTACTTTGCCTCAAAAGAGAATGGTGATTTTTTACAATACAGTCTCGTCGTTTCACGGTCTATTCCTTCTTGTTGCCACTACGAGTCTAACCCACATAGAAAACATTTGAAGTTCCAGGACAACGACTTCATCGACTTCGAGTTGTTGAAGTTCGTGGTGGTGGGCCGCTAGTACCGGGTTCGCATTAGGCAGAAGTACCCTGATCCTGCAGCCAGCAACAAGGATGTGTCGCTTATTCCTCAAGCTGATACTCCTTTAGCGCAGAAACGCTGTGGGTGGAGTTCCCACGCATATTGCCTGCTGCAAAAAGCCGTGGGTGGAGCTCCCACGCATGGTGCCTGTTAGAAAGTCGTGGGTGGAGCTCCCATACAGTTCTAGCGCAAAAACGTTGTGGGTGGAGTTCCCACGCATATTGCCTGCTGCAAAAAGCCGTGGGTGGAGCTCCCACGCATGGTGCCTGTTAGAAAGTCGTGGGTGGAGCTCCCATACAGTTCTAGCGCAAAAACGTTGTGGGTGGAGTTCCCACGCATATTGCCTGCTGCAAAAAGCCGTGGGTGGAGCTCCCACGCATGGTGCCTGTTAGAAAGTCGTGGGTGGAGCTCCCATACAGTTCTAGCGCAAAAACGTTGTGGGTGGAGTTCCCACGCATATTGCCTGCTGCAAAAAGCCGTGGGTGGAGCTCCCACGCATGGTGCCTGTTAGAAAGTCGTGGGTGGAGCTCCCATACAGTTCTAGCGCAAAAACGTTGTGGGTGGAGTTCCCACGCATATTGCCTGCTGCAAAAAGCCGTGGGTGGAGCTCCCACGCATGGTGCCTGTTAGAAAGTCGTGGGTGGAGCTCCCATACAGTTCTAGCGCAAAAAGGTTGTGGGGGAGTTCGAATACAATCTCCAAGCGAGCCGCCGAAAGGTGGATGTGTAAAGTCGGACTGACCCCCCTGACATGATCTGGACCCACCCCGTGCTAGTACAAGAAAGGAGGATTAAAATCCAAACCTTGTATTACTCACGCTCATTGGCTAGAAATCGTGGAGCACGGTACGGGTTTTCATCCTAAATTCATTGGTCATTCCCTCCTTTTCTTCATGCTTCCTCCTTCACAACGCAGAGCTCCCACACAACTCGTCGGGCGCGCGGTACATTAGTAATTCATTAGTAACGCATTGTACTTACATTTTTCATTTCCTCAACTTCAATCATGGCTACCCGTACGCCTCCCTACACTCAATCGCCTGCATACATAGAGTATGCCGAAGGCGTCGACGGCGAAGGCAAACGCTGGCCTCGCCTCAAGAAGTTTGAAATTGTATGTTCTGCGAATTGAATATCAATGCACCACTAATGCGTTACAGGAAGCTGACACTGTCCTCATCCCTCCTGGTGAGGTATTCTGCCGCATGGAACATGATCCCGTCTACAAGCCAGGTACTCTCTGCGCCAACGTAAGTTTCCCTCAGATGCATCGATGATGTACTGAGTATTTACTAGCAATACATAGGCTCGAAAACGTTTGCCACAGAACCTGGTCGCTCATGTCAAGAGCCATGTGGCGAGAAATGGTTCGCATGGCAGACTGTACCTTCAGGTCAGTGGCGCCCACGGCGGCGCATCGACTGATCTCGAGCGCGAGCGTCTCACTGGTAAGTTATACTGGATGCACTAGCTATGCATTACGGATTCTGATTCTCTCCGCTAGAGTATTACGTCGCGCTTCTCGGGTGGGTGAAACTTCCGGATGGTGACAATTCGCCCCCACCACCAGTCCCTTACAAAATGGTATGATGAACCATATTCGCTGCATCATAGAGACTTTGCTAATGCATAGTTAAGGAAAAGCAGCTTGAGTCTGAGAAACCCCCCTTCACGCCCAGCAAACGCAAGGCCGCTCCGGCTCCGTCTCCAAGCAGCAGGCTTCAGGTCATCATTCCCTTTGGCATGGTGGTGGTCCCTGCTGGAAAAATAAGCAGAATCATCGACGAAGAGGTACATTATGCATAGCAGATGCATTAGCTATGCATTACTGATCCTTCACTCAGGGCAACAAGTTCATCAGGTTTGACGCCAAAGATTGTCGTCAGGCTCCTGAGCTTGTGGACGATGACGACGAGGAGATTGAGTATATTGAAGTGAAGAAGCGCAAGATCACAGGCACGACCGTAAGTCACTTTCATTGCGTTGATAATAATTTACTAATGTATTGCAATAGGATAGAGGCAAGCAGAATGACAAGGACAAGGAGGAGGACAAGGCAAAGCCGTCGGGTCCAATTGGCGTAAGTCATAATTGATGCATCACTAAAGTATAGCTAATGCATCCATACAGCCTGATCCCAAAACTGCCAACCCACCTCAGCCTCCTGCTCCCAACCCGAACGGCCCAGTGTCAAAGCAGGCTATTGTTAAAACCCTTGCGGTAAGTCATCACTTATGCATCAGCTATTTATAGCTAATGCATATAGTCCCTTGGTCCTGAGCAGCGCACGCGAGTAATGGACAACTGGAGCCAGAACTCACCAGCGGAAGCTCAATTGGCAAAGGCAGCTCTTGCCGTGGTTGAGGTTGGTGAGAAGGCTGGTTTCAAAAACTTCCCTATCGAAAAAGTAAGTCATTCATCATGCATTTGAAATACCTCTGAATTACTTACATAGTCACCCAGATTGATGACATTCCTGACGAAGAAGTCGACAAGCAGATGGCTGATGTATGTATCATGAATTCATAACGAATGCATTGCTAATGCATGTAGGTTTCGCTCCAAGCCGATGAAGGGGACTTGGACATGGACGACCTCAACGTGGATTTTGATCTCCCCAAGTACAAGTCAAGCAAGAGGGGTTCCCATGAGAAGGGCGATGTAGGTTACTTACTAATTGATACTCAATCAATTGCTGATGTATGACAGGTCAACTATCATGCCATGAAGATGGACTTCAAGAAGTCGAAGGGCGCCAAGGCCAACAAGGAGGGCTGCTACAGCTGTAACGAACGAGGTCGCGCTGGTAAGTACTTAGCATCGCATATATGATGCCTTACTAATGCATCTCAGATCAATGTGTACCTCGCATTCCTGATCGAAACTGTGAAGTCTGGAAATGGTACATTGCATCTGCCTTGATGCGCCTCAAGAAGGAGATGATCAAGAAGGCTTGGGAGAAGAAGGCTGCTCAGTAATGCATAATCTATGGGTAGTGCATTACAAATGCATCGATTCGGCAATGAGATGACGCATCGGAATTTGTTTTGGGAGGAATGATATTGTGGAATAGTGCAGACCATGCTTGGATGATCTTATGATGATGCATTGGTAATGCATTGTTATATCTGTAGGAGAACTTTTGGATGTATCTATAGTTTATGATACGATTAATGAACTTCCTTTTGGGTCTTACGATTGTTGATGACTTCAATGAACGTTGATACTGTTTGTAATGTCAAGTGATAAGCTATACATAAATGATGCATTGCAGATTTTCTTCTCTTTCCTCCCTTTGCGCTTGTGCTGCATAACTATGCTCTTTCCATTTGCGCCCAATATCCCATAGTGTACTGAGGAGGGTTTGCTGGCCTCGCAGGACTCGACCATGGGTTTGAGAGCGACTAAAAAGGATCAGCAATGCATTATCTATGCCTCATAGATATGTCATTCTAGCCGATGCAACGGAATTGCCCCGCATTAGGCCGAGTGGAGAGGATTGTAAAGGCGATCTTTGCCTAATATCCCATACCAAGCGGCTTCTTGAGCTGGAGGAGGTCTGGGCTGACCTATTGCCTTCATTATATATCAATCAGTAGTGCATCACTAAGACATCTAGAGTTACTCACGATTCATTTAGTTGTTTCGCTGTTCTCTACCAGTAACAGCATTATCAAGATGGCTGATCTGAGTCCCGTAATTGGCAGTAGCATGATAGTGGTTAATCAAATTTAAATCTTGGTCGGCGTTCCTATAATGCATATTAGTTTAATGATGCATCAAAGGAGCATTTAAGATTCATTACCTTCGTACCACTTTAACAAGCGATGAATATCTCCCACTTTCGTTATATGCTAGCTCGTGAAGCTCTCAGCAATATTGCTATTTCTCTCGAGTATTTGCCACTGTGCACAAGTCATTGATGAGTATGAGAAATTTAACCCTGATGCTATAATAGTATTTCTCTTATGGTTAACGCAATGTTTAGTGTAGGAATATTCTGATGCATAAATAGACCATAAGCTATGCGTTATTAATGTATCGCTGCACACTGTTAATAAGTTTCAAACATATCTCTTGATACGTCCCGTCATTTTCAACTGTTGAAGAGAGAAGATAAGATGGCGTAAATCGGTATTATTTTGCTAGCTCTGTCGTTTCGAAAGAAGATCTGCTTAGCTATGAAATAACAGTGCATTAATGAATGAGATGTAATACTTACTGACACCCCTCCCACAATGGACAGTACAAAGACGTATACAGCGCCTAGCATGGAATTGCCAATCGTGTCGATCAGGATCAATACTCTGAAGGTATGTACCAGAACCCAGAGAGCGCATTTTGTATACATTACTAGTGCATTGGCTATGAACTAACCAAAGAAATATATGAGACTTCTGCATTCTGCTCTTCAGCTTCATCCTGGAGTCGCTGCCATAAGGCCGGCATCTCAGGATGCCCATTTCCGTTATTGTCAATAATATCGATTAAGTCCCATCCTAATGGGGCTGCCTCAGAGGTTTCAATAATTGGAGGTAAGTTACTCGATGTTCCATAGTGCAAAAACGGATCACGTGACAATGACTCAGCAAGTGGATAGCATAGCATACCGATTGCGTTATTTTCCAAGAGGAGTATTATCACCATGCAACTCGAGTTTTAAGGACTTGGCCCTTCGTGTTCGAGTAGCTATGATGGAAGAGCGAACCTTTTCAGTATGGCCAATCACTTCCGTCTCTTCTTCTTAATCGTTGGTATATACTTACAACCTCAGCGAGCGATGCAGCTCCTGAAATCTAGGCAATCACTCCGATCTTCGAAACCTCCTTCCTCAACGCTCCCCGTCAAACGATTTCCCAGTGGCTCCCCTATTTTCCAAGGCACTCCCCACATACAGGGTATGAAAAAATGGCTGGGATCGCTAGGTCACACAGTACGTCGCGGTGCCTTTACCTTCCGCTTCATTGTCATTAACCTGCCAGGACGAGAGACTTAGGCGCCTCAAGGTTATCCACGTGGCGGGAACTAAGGGCAAGGGAAGCACTTGCGCATACATCGACAGCTTACTAGGAAGTTACGGGCGAAGAACCGGTTTCCCGCTAAAGCGTGGGCTTTACACGTCGCCCTCCTTGATGAACTACAACGATATGATTCGTATCAATTTCCAGCCTTTATCAGAGGCCTATTTCACGAAAGCCTTCTTCGAAGTGTGGGACGGTCTTCGGCTTGATGAGGAAGATAAGGAACCTCCCCGAAAGCTCCAGTTACTCGCTATCATGTCATTTCACGTGTTTCTTCAGGAAGGTGTGGACGTAGCGATATACGAGACCCATCATGGGGGCGAGTTCGACGTTACGAACATTATTGACGACCCTGTTGTCACTGCCATCACGACAATTGGTCTCGATCACAAGGAAGAGCTGGGTGGAACGTACGAAAGCATCGCATGGCATAAAGGTGGCATCTTCAAAAAAGGTGCTTGCGCATTGTCTGTAGACCAGCATCCACGTGCGGCGGGAATCTTAGATGCTCGGGCTAGGGAGTTGGGGGTTACTCTGGGCTACGTTGAAGCTTTGCAGGAGCTTCCGGGCAAATTCCAGGATGATGCTCAACGCATCAATGCCTCTCTAGCGCTCCGCGCCAGCGACGTATTCCTCAATCATCACACTCCGGGAAGCCATTTAAGTCCTGAAGACGTTGAGGATGGTCTTCGAAACTTTCGATGGCCCGGTCGCTTCCACATCGTTGAAGAAGATTCTACGACGTGGTATATGGATGGCGCTCACAATCCAATGAGCGTTGAAATTGCCGCGAAGTGGTTTCTCCGTTTAAATAAACCCCAAAGGTCTATCCCTTAAGAGTCTTCATAATCGATCGCTAACGTATCTTAGTGCAAAAAACGTACTTGTCTTTGGCCTAGATTCCGACCGGCACGATCCGTATAACACCCTAGAGACCCTCGCCACCCTACTAAGGGAGCATGTTGAAGGCATCGTATTAACCTCCGACACGGGCCATTCAGACAACAAGCGGTTGGCGACCTACTCCGAAATATGGAAGTCCCATTCACGGGATGTGAAGATCAAGATTGCTGATCGGGAGCAAGCCATGGGTTGTGCGCGCGAAATGGGAACCCAGGTTTTCGTGACCGGGAGTCTTTTTCTTGTGGCGTTTGTGTTGCAGAAGCTGAACCAGTCATGTACGTAATCGAGGGATGATGCGAGAGCGTGATTGTTTCTCTTCCCAATCACCCACTAGGTCAGGCCATATTGTTCCCAATCCGATGAAGTTATAGTATCGACAGTGCTTTATCTCGTTCCAAGTCTGCTCAGCTTGTTCGCGAAGTTGCGTTGCATCCGAGCGATGAAGTACAAAGGCCAATTGGCTCTGAGAATATGTTGTGATCATGAAAGCATATCCTTGGTCCGGCCAACAAAGGCCAGCAGCGGACTTCGCTTGCTCCCAGACATCAAATGCAAGCGACAGTTTCTGGCGAATGTGGTGAATGATTGCCAAACCACACCGTGTTTGAAAGATGCTCTGCTGGACAGTGCGACCAACTTGGCCCATTTTCTCATATGTACTTCCTAGCCATTGAAACATATACTCCGCCCGATCTAAGATGACCTCATATCTATAATCGTTCTGCGCGATGCTGTGAAGAACTTCCATGAGATGTGCATAAGCGAGGGATAAACTGAGCCGTCTACCGGATCCAAGCTTAAGAGAGTGTATGCCTTTAACAAACTCCTCATCCTGCTTCAGAAGCTGGAGCGCGAAAGAGTGGTGACCCCGTTCACTCTCCAGCTCACCATACTGGACAATGATTTTTAAAGTGAGCCTTGACTTGAGGTCCACGGCATGCCTGAGGAGTCCCCGAAACGCCTCAACGGCAGCAGTGAAATTCCCTTCATATCGAAGACTTTTTGCGTAGAGAAACTCCGCCTCCAGTTTAACCAGACTCTCTTGGAGAGAAATTGTCCCCGGAAGCGCTTGGAATTTCTGTGTCGAAGTGTACACGTCTTGGGAAGTTGCTGATCTATCGATCAACGTTTGAGTTACAATCAGAACGAGTTGGCCCATGAAGGCGTTCGAGCGCCTATCATATGTTTTGATGTAATCTGGTGAGGGAAATTGGTGCAATAGTGATGAATCTGTTGTCAGTTTCCCAGCAAAATGGAGTCTTCTCAGGGCAAAATGCCGAAACGATACTCTTGCGAGGTTGACGCTGTCCTTCATGAGGATTGCCAGTTCCTCGGCCACCCGTATAGCTTGAATCTTCCAAGTCAAGTCACCAAATTGTGTGGCAGACAGGAACGTCTCGAAGGCCGAAGAAAGCAAAGCATAATCTCTCCATAATTCGTAATCACACCACATATAGGGCACGCATCGGCGGAGAACTGGCAACAATGCATATCCTTTTTGTGTATACCTAAATGGTCAGTGGAGGTCCGTGTTGGTGAGCAGCTGAGCCTACTTATGAGGTTCTGTTTGACCATCCTTTGGGAAGATGTAGCATACGTGCTTCAATGCTTCCAACCGCAAGCTGGCGAGGTCTTTTTTTGGTAAGTGCTTCGCAGGCTTTTTCTTCGTTGAGTCGTATGAATACATGGCTCCGCCTTCGCCCTCTCGCTTGATAAGTAAACCAAATTGCTGGAGACACTTTAACCCATCATCAATGAAATTGGAGTTCACAGTGCAGGCGGAGATCTCGCCGTCCTCAGACCACAAAACACATCGGGTGTCGAGGAAACATTCGGGAACGTCATTCCCGGCGAAGAATATAAGCGCTGCTGTCCGTGTGGCTGTATCAGGAAGCGCATGTGGAACGCTAAAACCTTCCCGATCATTCGGTTGGCATTCTGGAGTCAGATTGCTTGTGTGATAATACGTGGCTAGATTGAGAACAAGGCGAACGATGCTCGCTTGTTCACCAAGGGATAGCCTGCCCGAAGATATCCATGGGAGACACCTCCCAGTCAATCGTCCAAGGATCAACTTCGTTGAATCCAAGGAGGCTTGAGCTTCAATTTCCACAGGTTCAAGAGGGCGTCCTGCACATTGTTTGAAAACTCTTAAGCATTCCGATGTAATAGGCAGTCCTCGCTGTAAGTTGCCTTGCTTCTGTCGTCGTTCAATCTCCTCTCTTAGAACAGCAATGGCGCAGTCACATTCTTTTATTAGGGGAAGTAAATCCATGTCGCTCAGGGCCATGACCTGCACGCAGTCTGTCCAACTGAAAATTGTTCTGTTGGGCATCGAAAATTGCACGCGAGTGCTTGGCGGAAGTTGATGTACAGCGGCAGCCATCGTGTCGCGAAATGGCCCTGTATAACTTGTGAGTAGCGTAGAATATGAAAAGCTTCCAATCCGGTCGTGGTTACCCTGGCCGGGTTGCTCTTAATGCTGTTCGAGTATAATTTCGGAGACCGAGCGCCAAGGACAGGAAAGCCATCTAGAGAATAACATTAATCGAGGAGCACACGCGCGTGGAGTGAAGAGAGGTGAGAGAAGCAAGCGCTCGTTTGCTGTGACGCGTTCTCCAGCTAAACCTTGTTGGGAAGGGTTGTCGTGATTGGTGAACGAATGTCAGCATACCTGTATGTAGTTTTTCTACCTACTATTAGCGCTCCGCTAGAGCCAAGGATTGTTTAGACGCTGGCGAAGTGGGGCAGCGCGGATCAGTATTGATCCGCGAGGCTTCGGCTGTTCGCCGGACCCCGCTAGCCGGGCATAGTCGCGTAAGTGACCAGAACCGAGTAGGATAACCAAACCAAACCAAACCAAACTAGAGCCAAGGATTTTGGGCGCCAAAATGGCTGTAAGTATGGTGGCGATGTTAACAGGACTCTAACAATCGCCAGGAAGAGCTTTCTTCGTGCTGATAGACATTCCAGGTCATCACATCTCAAAGGCACATGGAGAAACATTTAATAAATGAAACCCACTCAATTTTAATCGACCTGTCCACAGTCGGTTATGTTATGTTATATGTTATGTATGTTTTTCGTCCGGGGGGCCATAGGCCCCGAAAGTCCCCTACTGGGGCACAAGACGTGCTGAGCTAAACTATCTGTAAACGCTACTGTATTGATCCTCCCTCAGACCATCTGCAAGGCCTCTTGCGTGGGAGCCGTATACATGCTCGAGCGTTTTCTGTACTCATCCCCCCAAGAGGCACCTCTCTACTCGTAGCCAGCCCTACAGTAGTTGCCGGTGAAGCACGTCCCAGTGGACATCAATACATCTGATCTGAGCAGAGCTTCCATCCAGCAGCGTCTCCATCCAGTTCATCCAGCATATCATCGGCACAAAGGCGCATTTCTTCCAAGAGGGCATCCCGTCAGCGGGAACTCATCTCTCTCCAGCCTAGAATTCTCCTGCACAGATAGATCAAGTAGTTTTTCACACCCAAAGGCAGAAAGTTCTCATAATCTCTAAGATCGCCAGTAGCTGCAACCCCAGAACCGTGCATCCTTGGGGAAAACCCTCACAAGAGAAAAAAACCCAAGGCGGCCAGAACGCTGCTCTGCGGGAAAAGACGGCCGCGTCCTTCCGCGGTCTCCAGGAAGCTCTGCACCATTTCAACCCAGCGATTTATGTCTGGTGGTCTCATCCGCTGAGACGAATTGTCGGGGCCCGGTCGTGTTCCGGGCAGCAGCCGAGGCCGCGAAAGAGAGAAAGAAAGAGAGAAAGAAAGAGGGTCTCTGGGCAGTACACGACTGCAGAGATCGGTCATGCAGCGTTCGAGCTGCGAAAAGGAAAAGGGCAGCGAGCCACTGGAGGCCCGTGCGTCGAGGTCGGGGGCAACTGAGGGCCCAGAAAGTCGCGYAGCTGAAGGCTGCTGTTCTTGTTCGGCAGCCGAAGCTGCMAAGGTCGATTGGAGGCAGCGCGAAGCTGCAGGCGAAAATGAAGTGAGGGTACGTTGACCCTGAATGTCAAGCAGCAGGATGCTGCGAATGTTGTCTCGGCAGCCGAGGCTGCAGATGTCGGTCGTGCGGGAAAGTCGGAAGGAGGGCGTAGAGCCCAGAATGTCGAAGGCTCGCGAAGCCGTAATGTCGAGGTGTGAAGAAGCCGTAGGTATCACGTAGGAAATAGTGCCCGAGGGCGATGTTAAGAGCTCGCGAAGCTCAGTGTCGCTGAGAACGCTTGTCACGAAGGAAGGTCAACTCTCCAAATCCCTTTCTTCTGGCAGCTGTTAAGGCTCCGCTAGCCCCACAGCCGCCTTTGCTGCCATTTCGGCCTGTAAAAGCCCTTTGCCCTAGCGGAACGCTAACAGCGGATGCCAAGAAAAAGTTTTTTTACAGGAGAGAGTTGACCTTTGTATGCTGTTCGGGAATAACATCTTCGCTCTAGGGTAAGCAGTCGTGAGACATACTTTATATATCACGAGGCCATCAGGCTTGATTAGCTGCCTTCAACATGCTCATGACCAGAGTTCATAAGCTGCCGACCCAACATCGCAGGAAAGAAAGGCAATATGTATTGACGACGAAATGAGATGCTGCTTTGTTGTTTGTTCAATTTCTGATTGAATTTCGGGTTAACTTGTTACAAAGAAAATAGGTTTAGTGGGGCCTACAGTTGATGTGTTATCGCGACAAGATTGCTAATAACGATCAACACTATCGATAATAGATTGCTATTAGCTCATCGATCGATCGGTTGCCCCGCAACAACATCAACCCAATTTCTCTGCAGTTAGGTTTACACTTGGGTTTACCACCACCACAATCGCGATCCTCTCAATGTAACCAGCAACAGAAATGCAACCAGATCAGGTAGAAATCTGGGCCCAGAAAATTTTGGACGATTATGCTCTTCAAGGCAAAGAATCAGGACAATCAAGCAAGCGAAATTACGACAGCGTCGACCTTTCAGGCCCTCTCATGAGTCCGATGCCGAGCCCGAGCCCCAAGCGCCGCGCTACCAAACCTCCGGATCTCGAATCAACACCTCAATCACTCGACGATGTCAAACACCACGAGTTCCTGCGCCGAAGACTTTCTTATCGACCATCACCGAGTCGCGAATCTTCCCCATCGCCTTCAAAGCGACAACGTGCATCTACATCGAAAAGATATATGACAACAGCTAGTCTAAAGCAGTTGGATCCGCCGATTTATGTGGTTAATCCTCTAGATCTGGAATCCGAATTGCCTGCCGATATCCAGCCTTTGTACAATGAGCTTTACATGGCTATCAAGCAGCAGGGAATACTGCCACGGAACCTCGAACGCATTATGGATGCAGAGGACCGCAGACGCGCCAAGGTCCTATCATTCATGTGGCAAGGGAGTGGCGACCAGGAGCAAGATGAATGGTTTAGGCAGCAGCACCGAAACGTCCTAGAAATTCTTGCCGAAGCTGCTGAAGCAAGTACTATGACGAAGGGAGAGTCAGCATGGAATGCACAAGTTCACTATCCAATCCTCAAGCTAGCTCTCTCTTCCATCCCTTCGACAAGGGCAGAGACTATTGCCAATGCGCAGATCATCAAGACTTTTCGACCGAAGTCTCAAGGACAAGGCTGGTCGTCTGCGTCATCTAGTGCGACATCGAGCAACGCAAGTATTCTCAGCGATGATACTGGAACATATACGGAACCTGAGTCATCGTCGGTTCATAACTTGGTCGACTTTGCTCTCGTTCTAATGCCCAACAATGCGTTAGAGGATAAGATCACCAGGTTTTTTGCGAATCAGGAATATCCCACTGTTAATCAGACTCTATATGATGCTCTATCTCGACGGCCTGCACCCGTTTTCATCGAGACAAAGACATCTGCTGGTGTGATAAACAGAAGCCACGTTCAGCTAGGGATATGGACTGCAGCATGGTATCAGCGTCTCCGAGCTGTGAAATCGACAAAAGATCCTATCGCTATCCCTGTCATCCAAGTTCATGGCGATGTTTGGACTGTAATGTTCGCCAAGGATGATAAGAACAAGATTGTAAGTTTGCGTGAACCATGTTCATGATTTGTTGACTAACATGTGATGTAGTCACTTTTGGATCAGTCAATAAGGATCGGGGATACAGCTACGTTGGTGGGTATTTATCAGCTTTTAACTGCTTTGAGGGTGATTGGGAAGTGGATTGATACTACTTTTCAGGCTTGGTTCAGCGATTTCTTGGATAGTGTACAGGCTGGATGATCTCATTGTAATCTGCATTTTATGCTGCAAAGCTATAGCTTTACTTGAGGGCAATGTTTATTGAGTGGAATGTTGACTGTGTTATTGATTGTAGTATTCAGTCTGAGGCTGCACGAAAACCAAGATGGGGTTTGCCACAATTTGGTCAGCTGGTTTCAGCACCCAGAGGTCATGGAAGTTTATCTCAGAAGGCGCAGCTGTTCTCCATTAATCCCAGTTCATTACTTCGTGTTTTTGCTCGGCATGTTGCCCTCGTACAAGCTAATGATGAACCTTCATTACCCATGACCGTCAATGGAAAGGCCCTACGACAACACTACGACATGTCATGCGTCGAAAACGAGTTGCGCCAGACGAGCGCACCGCCGCTCAGAGCAGCTGGGAGCTTTTTGGCAAAGGCTGATAGGGAGCCACACGGACTCTAGGGCGAATCGTTACATATGGTTCGGTGCAAGATGTCCAGCTTCATGGTGTCACTGGGCATGCCAGTAGAGGTCGTGCGCTGCTAGACGGCCTCAAGTTCGCGGTGAATTGCTTGGTGGCCCGGAGAGTATTTTGTCGGCAGCTAGCACTCGGTCGTGACCTAGCATCGACGAGGCTGGCTTGTTAACTCTGGATTCTGTAACTGCCCTCCAATCAGTTGTGTATAGAGGTGTTTTTGCCGTAGTGGTGTCGTTCGTTTGCGGTTCTGATCGAGCGGCTCGCCAATGGAAAGTCGAGAACGAGAAAGACTGCGACATAGAGCTGGCGTGAATTGGACTTTCACGCCGTCCGTATACGTGAATGCGACGACGATGCGTTGTCTTGAGAAGGACTGATCTACCTGCAACACCGACCTGAGGTGAGTCGGGCAGCGGAATGGTGGGTGACGCGTCTAAGAGACAGTGATGGAACCATCCCCCACAAAGCTGACTCCCATTTTTAGGGAGTTGTTGACCAGGAACTGGAAGAGATCAAGAGAATCGGTTCATTTAGTGCAGGAATGGGAGCCACGTTTGGTCAATATCAAGGTAGTAGTGATCCCGTAGCAAAAGTTCGCTGTGAGATGAAGCTAGTTGCCGAGTTACATCGTGATCTGGCATCAGCGAGGCCGACGCCGTGAACTCCAGGTTCTGTAATTAAGCCATCATCTCAATCAGCTGGGTATAGAAGTGTTTTCGTCGCATCAGCATATCGTTCGTCAACGCTTGCAGATCGAGGGGCTGGCCAGGGATGAAGTCGAGAACGAGCTAAGCTTGTGTAGTGGGCTGTCGCGAAGGAGGCTCTCCTGAGGAACTGTTATCTTGCTCTGCGACCGTATACGTGGATGCGATGAAGAAGCGTTGTCTTGAGGTGTGACTAGCCTTCCAGCTATAATCGGCCATGTATCAGAGCGGTGAACAGTGGTCTTCACAGCGTGCAGAACGCGTTGAGGCCAGCATGGTCCGAGCTGGAGATGCGGCAGCGCTCGTTGTTTGTGTCGAGATGCTAGCGTATGAACCGCATCTTGGGCGATGGGGTTGCCTGTCGCTTGGTAGAGAGGAAGCTTCGTCACATTTCGATGTCGCTGGAGAGGGAATATTCAAAAGAGTAGATGTCATGCGTCGGAGAGCCAATTGAAGAATGGCATGGATGGCATTCGTGCCGTGGGTAGTCAACAGCTTGGCCAACATGTTTCGCAGATGGTGTCCAAAAGGCGAACCGATTTTCCGGCTGAAAGCCGGCTAACAGCCACTGGCTATGATCACAGTGACTTGTGTAGGGTAGATTGAAGAGCGAGACCTGGAGGTTTTCAGCTAGCTAACATGCAGGTTCTTTAGGCAATTCGGAATTTCATGAAAAAGATTGTGCTTTTCTTGGTACAACACTCTGGTAAAACAATATGTGAGGACTAATTTATTAGAAAAACGATTTGGAACTTCATGATCTTTAGTGTAAGCGTGCCCCGCCAGCGCGGTTATTTGTCGTTTTGGCGCGAAATGTACGCGACCTGGAAGCATCGGAAATTGGTGTTCAAGCTAGAGAAGCATTGTTACGACTAATAGTCTTTCGAACCCTCATCAACATGAAAATTTGATTCTGTTTTAATACCTAACCTCGCGTTTCTACATGATCTGAATCACAAAGAAATCGGATCGCAATGTAGTCAAGATGCCGAACGCTGCCCCGAGAGCCCCGGCAAATCTATCTTGATGTATTGCCTGCCCCTTCAGCACGCTGTGGAATGTGCGACTCGAGTATAGCGCTGCCAAAGCTCGCTCCCGCATCGGACCGTCGGAATGGGTTACAAACAGCTCTCGCCTAATAGTGTTATCTGGGCTCAGAGGTGACGTACATTGCTCTGTTGTGAGTCGAGACCTCTCCCGGGGCCGTCTCGGACCAGCAGGTCAATTTCGACTTGCAGTTGATGCGCCTGCGCGTTTAGCAGCTGATCTCCATGGCCAGTAGGGGGGGGGGGAAACCGCGCAAACATGACCAAGTACCATCCGCCTTCATGGCTCCCATCTGGTGTGCATACCAGTCCCCATTCGGCATGATGGGGAAGATCAATATGTGGAACACGGGACGTGGGGGCGGCCCGCATTCAGGGCAAACATCCGGCGCCGCCGTTCGGACCCCGTTGATAACCGTTACTGCTACCTATTTAGCTACCGCGGCATTCGGAAACGAAGAGAACCGAGCGTCTGGCGAGATTGTCCATGAAACGGTATCTACGCTTGTATATACGTGCCTCTCATATCCCGGGGTGCCGGCGTCTTGCTGATTCCTGGCCCAAAGTCTAGCCAATTACCGTTGCTGTTATCTCAAGACTACTTTATGCAGGGATGTACCAATGTCCAAGCTTTGTGCATTTGCTGAAGCCATAAAGATGGTGTCACCCGGACGGGGAAGCCTACCCGGTAGGCCAAAATCGAGCCAGAAACAAGCCCCTTTCTCGTTTGGCGCAGTGAGAGATATGATTGAGCAAGATCCTTAAAGGATCAGTTCTGTGCTCATATACAGACAGTCGTGAACTGCAATGCAATGCACATTCATGCATGCTGCCATCTCTGGTACGTCGCAGACATAAGGTTGCATAGTCGCGAAGTAATGAGCATCTGTCTTTCCTTATGTGATGGATTTCTGCAAGTGCGGACCTGTACCCCTGGATTCCTGTTTCAGCCCTGGACGCCATCTTCACCCGCCAGATTATGTGGTGGGTCATGTGAGACCACCTATCCTCAGCCAACTCGAGGGGTGAGACCTGCGGCCGAAATATGGAGGCAAGGGTAAGTCCGAAAATCTCACTCACGAATAGTAATGGAGGGTCAGCGATCACACAGTATACAGTGCAGTAGCTTGTGAACAGGCATAGCCCCTGACTCAGCACGGAACAAGGGGGTTGAAAACTACTCGGTCGTCACCCCTGCATATTTTATGCCCTCCCCGGTTGCCTTGGTTCGATGACTTGATACAAGACTCTTCAGCTGTAATAATTGGCTAGTCCAGCGAGGCGAGCAAGAGCAAGAGTCCAGGGTAAAGGTTGCCGCAAAAGTCAATTACGGGGATATGCGGAAGTTAATTCTTTGCCCATGGCCTGACTATCTGTTGACTCAATAGCTTACTTGCTTGCCTCATGTACTAGGAATTACTCGATAACTTAGAATCTCTCCCCAAAGGTAGCACAACACCCATGCATATCACCCAGATTCTGGCTTACAGTGCCTGTCCAGAGAAGCAGGGCAGATGGGTCGAGATTTGTGTGGCCCAATTCGCCAGTATATAATCTGCTTATTGTGCCACTTGTTTCCAAGCCTTTTTCTTCTAATCTCTCCACAACCTATCCAATATTTTAATAACTTTCCAGCATGCCTGCAGAAGACAACGAAACTGATTTCGAAAGCCAATTCTTGGGGGCGGCGAGTGAATGCGGCTTCATTATTCACGACCGCCTTGACGAAGTTACGAAAGGTACTGCGTATACCTATATTATATGGGGGAGTCTAACAGCGAAAAGTCAGCCATCCAACGTCAAGACAACTCGTCAAGTTCAATAATGCGTTGACTAAGCTTGGAGCCAACTCTGCGGACCACTACACCAAGGATAGAACCAAATACGAGGTTCAAATTCATCCTAAATCTAGTACATAAGGGAGTTGGAAGACTGCACGATTGAGATATGGGGTTAGATAAGTCTCATAGTTGGAGGTACTACAACGGTCTGGCCCCAGGACGCTATAATTACAGTCAACGCAGGCTGGATCAGGAATAAATATCATTACTGTGTTAGAATAAGTCCTCTTGAGAGATAAAACAGCCGGCTTGCTAGAGAGGTATACATTAAAATTACGGTCGTCGACTTTGCCCAAGTCTCCCACTACGGTTGGAAATACTCCTCCCGAGTAGTTATAGTTATGGTCTGGTGTGCTTCAGATATAGCCAAGATATTCGCCCGATCGACTGAGTTTCCCGCCAGCGTTAAGGATCAATACCGTTTGCTTCGATGTCGCCGAGGAAGATGCCCGCGTCGAAGGTAAGTGAAGGTGTTCCAAAGGGCATAAAGTACTGTCTCCTGTAGCCTTGTATAGGAGCTAATGCATATTAGATGGTCAACTTTCCCACGCGACCCTGATGCATAAGACAACCTATGAAAAGATTTTACTACTTTATGAGTAAAGGTTATGATGAACCCTTCGGCTACATGCAGACATCTATCCTGGATGAGCTCAATCTATCATAAAGGTGGTAGATTGATAGGAAGCGGCGCACACCTACCTTGGCCTGTGACTCATTCGATGAAAGGACTCGAGTTATGGGCGAAACTTTGTCGCCATATGCCTGACGGAAGAACTCGTCGCTATTTGCGTAACCTTATGAAGCTTTCTCATCGCTTCGCATCCAAAACGGAGAGAAAGATTCACCATTGGTATGAGGCTAGGAGGACGCGTCGTAGATACTTGGGTCGTACGGAGCAGGTTCCAATATGCAAAGCTACAGTAGCCAAGAGTAAGATGGTTGCTTTACTTTGCTTCTCTGGTTGAACTACATTGAAACGACGAGCTGTAGGGTTGTATAGCCAAACTAGTATGCAAATCCATCCCAGCGAAAAAATATGTGAAGATGACAACACAATAGACCAAATCCCATAACTAGCAAGACCTCTTGCAAGCCACACTGCTATCGCTGAAGACTTGTTCTAGATGGAAGGCTAGAAATATTCTGTCGCTCGAGCTCTTTTGCCAATCGCCGCACTCGTCGACTTTGTAGCCGGGGATCTTGGTTGCTATTACGCCAGCTGTCAACTGCTCGCTGGATAAGACCTCACTCCCTCGAAGGACAACGTTGAGTTCGGCTAAAGCCCAAGCGATGCGGTTGCAATCCGTCTCATATGCGAGACGGTTGCCTCGATATTGATCTCTGGGTCCGCACGCTTGTGGATAGACGCAATTCAGTTGTTTGAATTCTGGGGACAGCTTGTCGGCGTCAACTGACTCGACGTCGCAACGAACTGTGTATTTCATCTTTACTCTGTTTGTGGAATACTCAAAAGCAATCCACTAAACGCCGTTGCCGTCGGACGACCAAGGGGGTTGTAGCAGAAATGGGTCCTGGTGCCGCCTTGGTGCCACGACCAGGCGTTGTGTTTGCAGGGCCCTGTAGCTCTCCAACGTCTTGTGGATAATGAACCTGCCCGATTGAAGACAACTGGAAGATGCATTGGCTTGCAAGGGGCGACATCTGCCATCCTCGTTGTTTTTGCTATTGGTGGTTCACACCCTCGTGTCTCCGTATGGCATGTTTGACTCATGGTGGGAGTACTCAGCCAGCATAATTACCTGTCTTCACTACTGTTGCATTGTTTCATTCTTAATTTCGAACTTGTATTATTCTCAACCCTCCTTTCGTAGACGTCTATTTCTTATACCATTCAATTCGCTATTGCGATGAATTATTGGCTACATACCATCTTTTGACAGTGGATGCAGATGCCATCCACAAGGTCGACACTAGAAATTCCGCTCACTTATGTAGCATGTGGAATGGTAACCTAACTCCTATGCGTATTTAATCACAGATGCTGACCAGCCAGTCTTCTCTACATGCTCAGACTCCGTTGGACAGGGACGAAGACTAGAGAACCTCAGCTGGCGACTCTGGCAAAGAGAGACCTTTGTTGTTGACAACGAGGAAAGACTTCTACTACTCAGACTATTCCTGAGAATATTCCTTCCGAGTCGAGAATGCCTGAACTATCTCGCAGTATTGTGTCTCTCATAGACGAAGAGGTCGTTGACTCTACTCCAGTATCAGAGATTGCGCGCCCTCGTGTACGACGTCAAGACTCTTGCGCAAGCACCCGAAGCAAACGTGATCACAATATCAACTCCGACGACTCTGAGAAGATGATTGTTCCCATTGTTAAGAACAAGGGTCCTCTGTCAGCCTCACGATGCTCCTGTCGCCAAGGAGTCCTTGCCAGTTCCTCCAGCTCTCGGGTGATCTGGCTCTAATACAGTCGAGTCGAAATTGCCTGCAAAGTCCATCACAGCTTCAGAGGGCTCATCGCAACCTTCGTCCCAAAGTCCCTCGCGCACTACTGTCGTGCATGGCTTTTGGCCTTCCCAGATTCCTCCCCCTCAAACTATTCCTGGTGCTGCTCCATCCTCAGACGAGATTCAGGAGCGTCAGTCATCGCCTGTGTCTAGTGAACAGGGCCAGAGCCTCAGAAACAACAAGCCTGTGTTCCAGATCGGCAGCTTGTCTAAAGGCTACGGCTCCCTTCAGAGCGCCGCGGCTTCACGACACCCCAGCTCACGTCTATCTGAGAGCAAGAAGCATGTCTCGTTCAGCAACAATGCTATGACACCAATAATGGATTACGAGGCTGCTGTAGACTCTGATACCGACGACTACAACGGCGAGAGCGCCATTGATGATAATGACGACTCTCCGGATTAGGAGGATGCAATTGAGAGCGGCAAATCCAGCATGGACGACAAGTTCCGACTATGAATATGTTTCTGACCTAACTGTATCTATCTACGTTATGCTGAAGCCTGATTGCGTAGATTCTAAGTCTTGTTGTGCACAGGGTGTAGGTGCTCCAACTGGTAGCAATACTATGGCTACGTAGACAGTCTGTTGTAAAGATCTAGAGCCAAACACACCAGGTGCGAGAAAAGGGCAAGGCAAATCAGATACAACGCCCGAGAGCACTTCGCATCGCAGATGGAAGTCTTGATAGATGCCATGTTTTGCCAAGCAGCACGTTAGTGTGAGGCACGAATCCTTACAGGAAAGGTTTACGATTGACCCAACGACCGACTTCCGGGAACGGCACCATCAAATTATCAACGCAGGGGCAAGCTGCCGAACATTATGGCATACGAGTAACGAAAAATGAAGAAGATATAGACTGGATCCTGAGATAATAATCGGACGTATTGTGGTCACCTCAGGATGAACAAAAGTTTCCAGATATTCTCGAGACCTTACGCGACAACAAGGCTTGTCTAGAAAAATTATTCTTAGAATTGAGACTAGCTACCATTATTCTGGCGATTGGCTGTTTTCCACGCCCATATTTTACAGTCCAGTGGAATTACGACTGGTCTGGCAATCAATACGAGTGTGGTTTTGGTTCAATATTATGCTTGCTTTTGCTAAGCTGCAGATCTCCGTGTTGCGCGGAGCCGGATGCACCATGACATATTGGAGACGGTGCGGGAATCATCCGAGAGCTGAACCATTATGCCGGCGCAGGGGTGAGGAGGGGGGTGGGGGGCAGGCTTCGTGGAGTTCTGCGGGGAGCAAGGTTATCGCCCAACCCTGTCTGTACTGGCATTAGTAGTCGCTGTCGCCCGAAACTTTGCTCTTTAAATACAAGCCATTTTCCTCCTTCATCAACCTAGAGTAACCCTCTAACTTATGCCCGATCCAATCTCTTCTCACCATGAAAATCCCGCTGGACATACAGATGAACCGTCAATCTCGGCATTCTAATGACCCGGGAGGACAATCATTGGCACAAGCAACCCAAGTACCCCTCGAAAAGGATCTCAATCGAGACGTACTGGAGACTATATGGCTCTACTCAAAATTGCATCGACCTTACATAGATCCCCAGACCCACCTTCAACATATTCGGTCGTCCGGAAGTGAAGGACATAGGATATGGCTTGTTCAGTCCATGGAAGAGTCACTCAGTCGGTGTCCAGAATCTAGCCATACGTTGGGACAGCATGTTCAACCCGTCAAGCAATCTTGCAATATTCGGCAATGCTCACAAGATCGGTCGAGGTTCAGCAACTCAAACTTGAGCATCTGGGGTTGCTTATGTTTGCTGGAACACTACGAATCGCCTATGCCAAAGTGGTTGGACTGGCCCCAGAAAGACTTTGACATTTGCGCGCTGATATTCGCCTCACAAGCATTGGGGCGCCATAGTTATACGCTTCCCTGCAACATAGCTCTCGATGACGTTGCAAGCCACCTCAATGTTCTCATATCCCTTCACAGTGACACAATGGCAGAGGGTAGTCCCAGTAGCCCAAGACGCGCCTTCAGCCGCAATATATGCTACCCACAACTGGTCGAAGCTCTGGCAAACTATTGTGGCCAAGAGCACAAAGGAGATGACCCCCCAATTTCTGGCTTGGATTCACAATTCATTGGAAATTGCACCTCTGGTATCTCTCAGCTGGCTGAGGTCAGGGATAGACATCAAATTGTCGAAAATCCTTGCCCAGGAACGCCTGAGGTATACAGTACCAAGCTAAGGGATTATACAGAGCTTGAAAGATGTGTTTCTCATTTAGGAGACCCTGCTGTTTTGTCGTTTTACGATCTTGTTCGTGAACTTCAACGATTCCCCGCAGCGGCAACAAGCTTTGAGTACTGGGCAACCGAAAAGCCTGGTGAAGCAGCTGTCCTATATATCATCAAGTGCCTCGCGTTTCTGGGATACCAGGCCTCGATGGAAGCTATATTGGAAGACCCAATCAAAATGCTGGGCAATATTTGCTATGCATTTGCTCTAAAATCAGCTGGACGAGGACCATACGACCGTCCATATGACCTACCCAAGACTCCACCATTCTCAGAATGCGAGGGCAGAATCGCGGAGACATCCCATGAAGACGGATCCGGTATTGGAACTTCTACTGGGGAACGCGAGCGTCAGACAGCAAAAGTTCCGAATGAGTGCAAATATGGGCACGCCAGAGACGCGATATGTGCAAACTTGACCTCGGTTGGCTTGGCCTTCAGGAGGGCAATGGTAGACGATGGCCATTGCGGTTACGATGCCCTTAAATGCACTACTACTCTACTACGAGCTTGTAACCTCTTATTCCGCGCTCGAGGAGCTGACGCTGGGCGGGCTTGTATCAAATGCATTTCGGACAAGGCTATGAGGGACTACCACCAGCACGGAGTTGAATGGCTCGTTGAATGGCTCCTTTCAAGAACTGAATCACGACTGCCGCGGGATCCTTTACCTGGTACACTGAATGACCGGATTCGGGCCTGTGAGGCAAAGTTGAACATCCGGAGATTCTCAATGACGCCGCAGCATCGTGATGGTACGAAGCTTATGTTCAAGACTGTCATGTCCGTCATGAAACCATTGGAATTTAACCCTAAATACAAGTTAGAGAAGAGGGACTCTGATGAGGTTCAGAGGGACTCTGATGATGTTCGTAAGGCTTCACAGACGCAGTTTATCTATGCTGCCGCTTGCTTGCTAGAACTACATTGCAGCCCCGAAGAAGCTATGGCGTATCAGAAATGCAGCTCTGAAAGAGCTTTGCTGCATCGGCATCTTGAGCTCTTTAACAAAATCATACAGAAGGTGGCCCGTCAAAACTGACAGGCAACAATGAAAGCCACATACTGATCGACTAACTATTAAGTTCGTTCGGACGCTGGAAGTTTAGTGCGAAAGATTGACTCTTTTCCCTCGTTGTATTGCCTTTTTTCTTGATCTTTCCTATAGTATGAGCTACACAGAATTAACATCATTTCGCTATGCTCGAGACCAGCTTCGTCGCCATCTTCGGCTCAGTACCCAAAGTTTGAAATTTATCGAAAACTTCTTGCGCAGCACGTGCTGAAACTCACTACTTTTGATGAATCAAGGCTCAGGCTTTGAGGCTACGTTTTACGCATCGTTGGTGTACCAAAATGAATACCAAGGAGCCCCCTTCTGAGAATTCAAATTAACACAATCGTTCTGAGGCAGTCTTTGTTGCATAGAACAGGGCAATTGTCTCATACGTCTCTTGCTGAAGCTGTCTCATCAAATATGTTTACAAAACAACTTTTCCGTTCCTCTTATTTCTTTCATCGTACGTACTCTACGTACCCTCATATATCTAGCATATCCATAAGGATGCTGATATTCGCATACACCTGATCAACCCACTTTACGCATGAAGTTGGACCCCCAAATTCAGCATATATCAAGTGGTACCCACTCTTCAACCCCATTGCTCGTGTAACCTACATAGAGACGTGCACGCGTTTGTTACCTGGTGAGTTAACATATATGATAATCTTGATGTTAACCTCCCTCGGGTCGCATTGGGGACGGTTCCTAACAGCCGAACTTCAACCGCTAACATCCACCAATCGTGATGACATGGCCGCTAACATGAGTCGCGTTAGCATCAATCACCTAAGCAACCCAATGATGATTGGCTTGCTCACTCATCGGGAGAAAAGTTTTCATCTAAGCCAAGTCGATAGCCCAGAGCTTTTTATCCCGTCGGCGGGTCTAACATGTAGCTGGACGTATGTACGCGGGGCTAACATGACGAAGCTGACTTGAACACCCTGGATACCGCCCACAGTCTTACCAAGTGCCTCACTCATTGAATGCAATCAGATATCAAATCTTAAAGTATGTCAATTTGCTATTCTGCTGTATTAATACTCGTGGTGCTGTTGAAGCCCCTTGATGCTAAAAACCGAGGTATGTTATCAGACGATTTCCGTATTAGGAAGTCTCATCGATAGTCTGCTAACCTATAGATAAGGCTACAAGGCCGCACAAGCTTACGTCGGCTACCCCTGAACAACAGAGGCAATTGCTTCAGCAATTTTCCGCGGCATGTTTCCTTTCCCTCCATCCTCAACACACGCACGCTCAATCGCATGCCTCCTAATAGCCGTCCTTCGTTTCACTCTGAGTGACACCGATTAGATCAACCTCAGCCCCCTTCCTCACGTGTTGAGCCAATGCCTGTTGCTCCGCCTCCAACAAGCCCCACTCCGGCTCCACCACCGGAGCAAACACCAGCGCCAACATCGGCCTTAACATCGACTTCAACATCGACCCCAACGCCGGCTCCAACACTAGCTCCCACCTAACTTGGCCTTCGGCGTCGATGTCGTCCCAGAAGCAGGGCCTAGTCCAAACAGTACCTGATTGGTACACCGTCCCGAAGACCAACGAGGATCGCGTGGCAGTCGACCATGTCAAGTTCATGAACAAGTATTGGCCGAATGGCCAGGCTGGTTGGGTCAAGCAGCCCTTCATCAAGACCTTCCTACCGAGCAAGCGCATTATTAATCAACTTCACAGCATCACGGTCCTCTGCCTCAATTTTGGAATTAACCTGCAGAAACTATATGAGTCTGGTGGTTACATTAGCGAAGCTGTCAAAACTGGAGAGTCACTCACGCAAACGAACTGTAGACAGGTTCTTGAACGTATCAAAAATGACAGACGCTTTCAGAGATCAGCGGATAGGTCTATCTTACGCGGAAAAGAGGGTGGCAGGTTTGACAAAGACATCTGTGGCGTTGACCCTGAGGAAGCCGCCAAAGCCGAGCCTTCTGATGACTTACCAACTATTGACAACATGGCTGCAGAGGTCAAGTTCAAGAGACCTCTGAAAAATGCCTTAGTCCCCATGTCAAACAAGCTACGACGATCCAAGAGGAACATGCCCGCCCAAGGCTCGAGTGCAGCAGAGTTGTTTGATCTTCTACAAGAGGGCAGTGACCACGACTCGCAGTTGGCCGCCTCATCTCTCCATCCGAATGAAGACGAGGACAGGGCCAAACAGAAACTATCGGACCCCACTGCGTGGCTTTGCGATGAGAGTATCGACCGGAGTGTCAGGCAAATTCTGCTTTCCCAGAATACATCCAAGTTTTCTTCGCGGCATCCACTTTGGCTCGATGTGCAGGGAGTCAATGACGAGGGAAAAACGCTTCGCGGCAAATTTCTAAAAGCCTTCAGCATAGTCTTTGTTCCGGTGAAGACGGCCTTGCCCTTCGAACACTGGTCGCTGGTTGTCATTTATCAAGAAAACGGCAGATGTATCAAAGCGGAGCATTACGACAGTCTAGCAGACGCCTATCGCACCCAGAGCATCGAAAAGGCGCTTAAGGAGGTGTTAGGAGATACCAAACTTCTCTTGATTGTAGGTATTGGATGAATCAGGCCCGAATTCGAATGCTGGCTGATCTTGAAAGGATGATTTTACACAAAGGGATGAGTATAACTGCGGTGTCTTTGTCATCTTCGCCATCGAACACTTAGTCATGGGAAAACAGATTCCACAAGATTTGGATCTTGCCAAAGAAAGGCAGAAATGGCGGGACAGACTCCCTCCTTCTCCTTATCTCAACCGCAAGACCTCATCGTCGCACAAGCTGTCGACCCTGGAGCCCCCGGACCACCAATCTCTAGTGTCTGGAACCCATTCTCTAGCGCCCGCGTCAAGCTCTGACAATTCTCCCCTCATCAAGGATGAGATTCTAGAGCGGATCCAACAGGTCAAAGAAAGCATCCAAGGCAAGAAAAATGCCCGCAGTAAGATGCAAAATCGCGAGACTTTTAGAACAGAACTTGGCTCAAAAATGGCCGACCTTCGTGGATTAGTCGAAAGTGGCGACTTTTGGACCAGCGAAGAAGAACGGGAGCAGTTTCTGGACGCCCTTGAAGTAGTTTGCAAGCTTAAGGAGAGGTTCGAGCCACAAGTCTTCCGTGGCGAGTCGAAGACACAGGTTGATCAAGATATCAAGAATCTTAAAGTTCAGATGAATGATCTGCACCAAGAACGTGTCGCAACGATCCAGAAGAAGGTTCAAGAGGCCGAGGCCAAGGCCCGAGATTTGGAGCTCACTCTACAGGAGGCCAAAAAGGCACAGGAGGAAGACACCACTGAAAGGGAAGAGGCACAACACGATGCTGACCATAGGGCTGCGCAACTTGAGAAAGTCAGCAGGGATGATTCAAGTAACGCTGGTGAATTTGAGGTCCTGAGTAAGGTTCGGGAGGAAGAACCAAAACATGAAAGACGATCATTACGACTTCTTTCCACTAAACGGAAATCACGACATTGAGGGAAAATGGTGTAAAGTTGGATTGGAGCATCGACACAGGCGGAAGAGAGCTTGGCATTGTAACATTGATATGGGATGGACATCCAACAGTAACAAGACGTCACCATAGGATACTAGAATGTCTAAGGGTCTGAATAGGTATGGTAGCTATTAGACGCCTTGGAGTGAGTTTTAGTTATATTTTATTATAGATGGCTTTTTTACTTTGGTCGCGGCCTACGCTTGTTATTGATATCCATATAAATGGGCGATGTTACTGTGCCGAATCCTGTTCTTCAAGCCATTGGAAGACTGTCGAATTGTGTTAATAGCATTGATACTAGCAAATAGTGGTATGTAGTAGCAGTATAGGTGAGAAAACGGGACAAAGAGTCGACCGCAACAGTTTTGTGTTATATGAAACTGGATTCCTGTTATAATAGACCATGCTGGTATGGATGTTGGTTAGCAATAAGATGAAGTATATTGTGCTAATATGGTCAGCAATGTTAACCTACCATACAAAGGCGTGCTAGCATAGTGGTTAATTGGATGTTAAAGGCCATGTTAACATCTGTGGCTGCACTAGCATACATGGATGACTATGCTAACATGAGGCGTATGATGACACTGGATACTATGATAACATGATATGCTCAGACGCTGTGCGGCATTCAATGCTGTCTTGATACGAAATGTTAAATTGAACTAGGGCATAATCTCATATATAATACGGTGCTTCAATTGGCTGGACATTAACGCTCATGTATGCTAACGTTGAGATGGTGTAAATTCTCAAAAGCTAACATCGGCCATGTTAACATGGCCTCAGTTGCTAACATCAGCATCCCAACACAGTTTGATTAGAGTAATGCTACTACGATATGGCAACGATGCGGCAAGCAAAACAAAATATCTTTAAATAATGTAGCCACCCATTGCGCGGACATGCAGTGACTGCAGAATACCTACCTTTGAGAATCCAAGTCACTTTGCGCAGGCGTGGCGACCTGGATCTTCCCATGGTGCTTTGTTTGGCTTTTGTTAATCCCACGACAGGTAACACAGCATTTCAGTAGGCAAGGAGAAAACAATGCATGATTATGAAAAGAAAAGAAAAAAAGGCGCATCTCCAATCCCGTGATTTGTCACGCATCATTAGTACCTTGCTCCCGGGTATGACAGCACATATGCTGAGCGATCTTTAGCAAATCTCTAATAGAATTATAAGCCCTTCCAGTAGCAGGTAAGGCAATTCACGGGGACTGAGAAGATCAATCGCATTCAATGCACTACGCTATATAGTTCAAGACTCTCGTTACTCATAATAAGGAGGTGATGTGGTATGAGTCACGAGTGTGTCTTCAGTACAAGTTTAAGATCCAACCAATAATCGTGCCACTTCAAGAGAGCAATGCTAAGCCGTGACACAGTCCACGAATGGCGACTAGCTGCGTTCCTCCCCGAAACGGAACTACCATCAAAATACCGTATCTCACAAAAACTACAGTCTTCCACTTCCAACTCAGCGAAGTGATCGGTAAACCGGTCTCATATGGTGGGAATACCTCGATGTGTGACGTTTGAACGGGAGAGAGTGTTGACGATCCTGGGATATACTAAGAATGGCATTAGTCGATTTATTCTATGCTGCGCGCCCTATCAACAAGCATGTATTGAGATATGATGGAATGACTCATGTCCCTTTGGTTTCTTTGCCAACTTTCGATGCTCGACTTCTGCTTTTTGCTCCAATGGTTTGAAAGATAGGTTGACGATAAGATGGAGGACAAAGCTACACAACAGCATCGCATGGCCAAGCTCGTCTTCGCCAGTGCGTTCCCGTTGACTCGCTCCTCGACACTCTCAGACCGTATCTAGATACCGAATTCATCGTGGCACGACACAAAAGTCCTCCATACTGCCATATCTCAAGGATATTGGACGGTTTGAGAAGGGAATGAACCATGATGCATCCAGTTGCAGGAATTGTAGCCGAGAAGAGGCCAATTCCATCGATGGGCCCGAAGGAGCAGACGCATAGCCAATGCACAGGTTCCCCTTGGGCTTCATGTGCAAATTGCATCGAAACGAAGTTGTTTGTCGGTGCTGGGAAGGCCATCGGGTGCCATGGGGTCTAGTGGATCAGTCCAGCGCTCTCGACTGGTAGGTCATCCACTCAACACGGTCCTGAAGGGCCATCATCTTGTCCCACATGGCTGTGAAAGGAAGTCATGGGAATGCTGCAACTCATAAACCATTGTTGAGAGGTCCCCAGGCATGGGTGCCACAGAGTAGCTGTGTCGCCGGGGATCATCCATCAAAGATCCAGGGGTAGCGATAGCGTGGTAGCTTTCGGTCCGTGAAACTTGAGGATCAGGGAACATCTGAGAGGTGTAGTGTTGGGGATGCATTGATGAAGTTATCGACTGCCTCGGTACTGTTGTAGGGACGTTGGAGGGAAGCGGCCGGATGTGTGCTGAAGGTGACTGGATAGCTTGACCAGATATCCATATAGAAAAACTCTGCTTAGATCCACTTGCGATAGATGATTCACGACTTTCCTGCGGAAGCATGCCGTCCGATACGCCAGTTTCGAGAGCTTTAGGTCTCCCGGGTGCGATAGCCTGCTCAAGGGATTGGACACTATCGCTGTGAGTGTTGGGGAAGTGCGATATTGCGGCCGGGTCGTTCTGCGATGCTGTACCCGAGTTCAAGTAACTAGTAATGTAATCATCGCTGATCCCATGCCGGTTGAGAAGACCACGGAGCTGTCTGTTCTCCTCTGCAACCCTCCGCGCAGCATGTTGCACCTCTGAGGACGCCTCGACACCTTGCAACTCATACACTCGGAGTCGTTGCTCGAGCTCTTGGAGATACTCTCTTCTTCGGGCCCGGGACCTCCTCTGATTATCTCTAATCCGGGCAAGGTTTGCTTTTTCCTATAGACAAATACATGTCAACATTAGGAACATAGATCGAAGAGGAATGTATATGGATAGAGGAACGGGTCACATACTGCCGGGGTTGACATTCTACGGTCGTCTCGGCAACTGCTCCGACCAAGGTCCAAATGGCGGAAATTCTGAGGCTTCAGGGAGATATAGATAATGATCAAAGACTTTTGATGGAAGGTGGACAGCGTATGTGTATTGAAAGAACAAGGAAACTTTGAGTGTGGGAAGAAGGGGAACGCGGGAGTAGTATTTATATCCCGAAACTTCGTAAAGACGATGGCCGCCATTCAGCCACATTCCCAAATGGAAGAGCATGTGTGGATGTAGCGCATGCATGCAATAGGGGCTTCGGTTCGCGGAAGCCTTGTCAAAGAAAAGTGAAAAATACCAGAGTCAAGGTCGACGTCTGCCTTGTCGGTTGCCTTGCCGCAAAGCCATACAGGGTTTAGGATTTATGCCAGAATTGGGTTCCGTGTGCGCCGTTGGCTATTGTTTCGCAATTCAGCGACAAGCTACGTATGACTGCTAACGTGGGTTCAATGGCTCTTTCCAATGAGTAGGGCTGTCGTGGCAGGGAATATGCCTTGACGACAAGTTCTTGGCCCGGTAGTTGGCCGCCTGCGACGAGAAATGCGACAGCGCAGCGTTCAACGTCACCAACGAGAAGGGTCGACTACCGACCCGAAAAACACCTTTGACCAATCAGCAACTCAGGCCGGGTACGATGGAAGGCTAGTCCTAACTAGACTAGACTGGATGGGTCACCGCCTACAATGCCCCAAGTGCCAGGCTGGACCAAGCATTTCCGCTCTCGACGAAAGATGACAGGCTCAATTATACTGTTCCGCTATTCGTATGAACTGATCTCATCAGGATACTTGCTATCGTATTTTTCATTTCAATCGCCATCCATGACTTCATGACGCTGCATTGCCCCTTTACGAGTTCGGCGAAAAGCTTGGACCTAGACGTCCAGGCAATGGCTGAGTTGGCTGAGTTGGCTCAGACATTCACGGTATGGCTTAATTGCGATGAGATGGCATCATGTTTGTCTTTTCGGAAGAATAGAATAGTACAAGGCTTATCTTGAAGAAAGGCTGTTGGATGTGCAACTTCGCCAGCCTCGCAAAACACACACACAAATCTATTACGCCCGATAGGCCACTGCCCAGAGGGCTCTACAAGCTAAAGATACATACATTACACCAGTATTTGCCTTGATCTCGCCAAGCCCTTGCAGTTCCTGTCTTGTCTTTCCGGCCTGCTTGTCGTTTGTCTTCTTGACCCCCGTGGTTATTAGTAGTAGCAAGTCAACTTGAAGCCCAGTTTCCTCCAAGTGTTCAGTTTCCTATCGTCGGCGGCTGAAGCGGTACCTGCTTGTAGTTGTACAGGGTAGTTGTTGTTGGTCTAGGTTRGCAGTGGTGTTATCATCTCTGTTCTAGGCGACCTGTAGCGATCGCAAACCTGATTGTGGCTCGTACTGCGTCCATGTTGGGTGTCCACTTTTGTCCATCTGATGTAGCTTTGCCCCCCAAGTGAAAGGAGAGGTTGCCGCCCTTCTCTTCTATGCATCGCAGCATCAT